TGCTGGAGGTTAGAGGTTCAGGCACTGCTGAGAGTCTTTCCGGCATAGCGTGACTCTGGCTGACGTGCGTGTCTGGACGCATGTGGCGAAGGTCCGACGGCGTATGTGTGTTCCGCTGCAACCGTGCTCCCAAGCAGCAGTCCGTGTGCGAGTGTGTGCATGAGAAAAGTCAGCGAGGTTGCAGCGGAACGAGAAACCAGTGTGGTGAAGAAGTTGGCAAAGAGAGCAGCCGGGACCCTAAACACTGACTTCATTGTGGTTTCGCCTCTGCCTTATATTCTGCCGGGGGATTGTGTCAGTGATTGCGGAAGAATTTGTGGCGACAACGAGTTTCTGGGAGCCCGAGGGAGGAGGCGCGCATGTGGCTGGAAGGCTGCTGGTTCGAATCCAGCCAATATAAAAAAAAAAAAAGTAAATCAAGAACGTCGTCGCTGCCAGCTGTCATTAGCGAGCCGTGCAGCGGGACACCCAGTTGAGGTTTAGCAGCTGTGTCGCAAAAAAAAAAAAAAAAAAACTCCTCCCAAACCTATGTTCAAACGTAGGTGTCTGGCGCCATTTAGGAGGCTGAAAAACTCGTGTCCAGAAAAAACAGATGCCTGCTGAAAGTTTTCCACTCGGGGTGCAGGGTTTCAAGTAAAAGTAAAAAAAAAAAAGTTTCCAAGACAGATTTTCTGGCAAATTTTGAAGAAAAGGCAAACCAATAACAGCTCAAATTCTGACTGTGTTTCTTTGCGTTTGGATTGTTGCTCCTCTGCTTTGCCTCGTTGGTCTTATTGTGACGTTCCAGGATGGAATCTGGAATAAACATCTGAGTGTAATCTAAAGTTGGCATGACGGACTGGGCTGCATTAGTCAACAATGTGAGCAATGGTGGACTAATGAGTTTTTTTCTTCTCTCTCTCTTCAGAGCTGCGTTTTGTTGTAATTTCCCTCTTTATCTTAAAGAAAATATGCGAGCCGACGGGGGTTTAAGCGCCGGTCAACTTCCAGTGTTTGCAGAGTCGCAAAGTCGGCTTTCTTCCGAAACGGTGCCATCGTCGTAACATTTTGTCCTGAAAACGTAATATGCTCTGGAATAGGTTTAGGAGAGGAAGAACATTTTGAAATGTGAGTGCTACTTTAAACATTTGCCCCCACAAAAAGTAATGGCTGAGAATCTTTAATCTCCCCCGGGCTGATTCTTGTGTTGGTACCAGCCGCCTGCTCAGTCTCCGGCTCGCAAGAGTGTTGCAAAGTGTGTGAGAGGGAGGGAAAAATGTTGCCCTCGATAAGATAAAAACCTGGGAGAGAGATTCCTCTCGCTATGGTTACTTCTAACCCTAATGAGATTTTTTTTTGTTAGTTTTTTGAAATTTCAAGGATTCATAAATCCTGCATTTGCTCACCATTGTGGCCTGGGAGAGATTACATGGAAACTGAATGAATTCCAGTGTTCTCCAGCTTCAGATGATGTTTTTATTGATTTCATCCTGTAGGAAAATTCAGTTTAATCCAAATTATAGGTGAAGTGGCTAATGTTAAAATATGTGGGCTCTTCGTTTTGTTTTTTTGTTTTACCCCATGTCTCTCAAACTCTCAAAAAGAGTAAAAATCTCCTCTTTCGGGATATTTTGTGACTGAGTCTTATCACGCCATCCATCCACTTTCCATTTTTTCAGCCTGGTGCCGATTGGTCGAGAAGCGGATTACGTCCACGATCCATGTGTTTTCAATCCCCTGCACACTTTTAGAAACATCGGTCAGCACAACGAAAGACTGAAAAGGCAAAACTCTTGTCCTTCTCTCCAGCATACTCTCTGGAAAACTGGGTCTGGAAAAGTCTGGAATTTCTCCATGAAAGTTGCGTAGGAAGAGAGAGTGGTTCCTCTGCGGATTTGGGACGGAAGCAAATTTAAGACCCACTAAATATAAAAGGTGGTGAATATTAGGTTCCAAACAGGCCAATGTCCTTGGCCGTGTTCTTGACACTGCTACTGCAATAACAATATATTGTCGATATGTTGTTCAGCCAAAGCAATCACTGCTGGAACCGTTATGGTCACAATGTGACTTTACGACAACCAGAAGTGTTCAATAAAACCGTTTAACTAATTCAACTTGACGCCGTAAGGGTTGAATGACCTCATAGTTTAAAGTATAAAAGTTTTAAAGGGCCAGTGTCGTGCATCCGTTAATCTCCCGTAGCAACCATTCAACTGCGCAAAACGCCTGGTTGGACCGAGAGTCACCTTTGACAACGAAGCTCCAGTTTCCAAGCTTCTGCCCACTCAGCTCCTTCAGACTAGCCAGCAGCAATTAGCAGCCACCTGGTAGAACAGAGCGTCTGCTGAGCTCATTTTACGAGCTGCTTCCATTGAAACGCTGCTAAAGGGTTAATAGAGGAGCCTGTAGGTGGAAGTTTCAGAAAGAGGAGGAGTTTTTAAAGAGACAGAGACCCAATTTCACAACGTAAAAGTTACGACATCAAATTTTTTTTATGTCATATTTGACATACAGAGCAATTCTATAGCAACTGAACATAGTTACTTGATTGTGCTATAAAATACCACTATATTAGTGGAAAATACACAATACTGCCCCTTTAAAATCTGGGGAGGCTCCAGTTTCATGATGCATTTTAAGCAGGCAAAAGATTAGTGTGTGCACCGTTTGTGCAGCTCGATTGTTTTCCTTTTCGTAAAATCAAAAGCGAGTCATTTTGGGAAACAGCTTCACCACGTTGGTCTTTCCAAAGTAAAATGCACACCAAGTGCTGCTCAGTCTTACATGAAGTAACGCGCCGGGTGCATCTTCTCCATGCATGCGACTGATGGCCGCTTACAGGATGAACAGGGGAATTGTCAGCGCAGTGTCAAATCGTGGTGAACCCATCAGTGCTGTCAGCTTTTCCAGCAGCTGCTAACCATTTTTACTCCCCTGCTGGATTTTTCCACCTTACCACGTCTTCTTCCCGTTTTTGGCTTCTCCCCGCGGCGCTTTTGCTTTGAAGCTGAATCTTGAGTCACTCTGTTCGACAAGAGCGCAGCGATGAGTCAAGGATGGAGAGATCTTTTCGATAGACTCATGCCTCAGTCGCGGGGCTCAAACTTAAGAAATGAAAACACGGCTGCGAAATCTTGTCGAGCCACTTAAGGGCCGACCGCAGAAATGAAGAGCAACAGTTCAGTATCACGAAGGGAACTCGAGACAGATGTGTAATGAGCTTTGTGGCATTCACCAAGAGTATTGGTTCTTTATTTGTTCCTTGTTTTGTTCCTCTTTTGTAGTCGTTTTTGCTGTAGCTTTACTAACTTTGGATTAATGGTGTAATTCACGTGCATGTACTTTTTTTCTTTTGCATACATATGCTTCCCAGATTATTCGTCCGGGAGAGTTGAAGACATTTAGGAGCTGCAAACTGTGAACTGTTAACTTTGGTGGTTGTAATAAACACAAAATTGTCTTAGTCAGTTCATTGAGTTTACAAGTAATAATAAAGAATTTATTTTCTGTTTTTTTTGTGGGTTTTTTTTACCCAGTTTGCCGAGGCACAAACGGGCTCTGTGGTTTGGGGGGGACACCCAGGGCTCTCATGCCGCCCTGGGTGATTGCCCATGTCGCCCATATCAGAACTGTACATTCTTCATCGTAAAGAAATGACATACGTTGTTGCATATCAAGAGAGTATATTTACTTTAAACACTATGCTAAATAAATCATTTGTTCTCTGAACATCCCTGTTTGGATGCGACTGTCCCTTTTAGCACAAATCTGACACAACCAACCTCGTGATTGGCCAACATCCCTGAGTGTGAGAATGAAGTTGTTTTGATAGCTGCTCACCAGACATGTGGCTTGACCTATGAATCAGATTTTCCTCATCCTGCTGAATGAGAGACTGACCTCGGATAAAAGCTAACACTCACTCTTAAACCTTCAGATCCGGAAGGAGAAGGAGAATACCTATGGGACGTCCACATTTACACAATTAAACTCCCTTTATTTGGAAAGTTAAATGCTTTTGGAGGCCGTGTAAGTTAATTTGCCTGTGTTTTAGGGTTTCTGTGTTAACATGGCTGTCGGGCCGAGGAAGGAAGATTTAGCATCTGGTTGATTCTGAGGGACTCCGGTGGCCAGAATGTCAGAAGCAAAATCTCTGTCATCGGAGGAATGTTTATAGGATGTGGAGAAGGACGCGGGATTTGCCTCAAGAAAGTTTTGGAAGATGGTTTGACAGCTTCGAGAGGAAAACTTGGGACAATGCCAGGCTGGAGAAATGCAGACCCAACTGAGGATACTGCTGATTGGTTGAAGGAGTGCTTTGAAGATCTCCCAAATATGGCCAACATAGAGGAATGCTTATAGACTAAATAAACTCCCAAGTGGTTGAGACACCTCTCAAATGTCCTTTAGAGGACGCAGACAGTTCCTGTGGTCCCAGGCTATGTGGTACCAAAGGGTTCTGTCCTTTGACGATGGACAGATGGAGTGAGGGTTTTGCTCCATTCTGCCTATTTTAGGATCACGAGACATGGCTTATGACTAAACGAACAAAATTCCAGATACAAAAAATGCAACCGGGTTCCTACCATCGTCCTCCAGCCACTTCTTGTCGTCTTCAACATCCAGTGGTTGATCACGTGACTCGTCTGAAACCAGCTCTGACACGTCGCGGTGTCCAAATTTTTATTGAAAAAAGTTTTTCGAAATTGCCGCGTTTCCATTTGTCAAATTTATTTTTGAAACATCAAATTGGACAATTATACAGTCAATGGAAACGCAGCGACTGCTGCACATGATATGATCTGAAATCCAGACAGAAAAGTGGTGTAAAAATGTTCTTCACGTGGAAGTTGACACACGTGTGACACAGACGTGGAGGAAAACGAGGCCTCAACTGTTAAAATATCAAAACAAGATCCGAACACCACCGTGTGGTTTACGCCTCGGCTGAAAGGATTTAATTACCTCTGTTTTGTGCTGAGTGCTTTGTAAAACGCGCCCCTGTTTCTCCGTCTCAGGGAACCAGACTTCAGCAGCCATGCTTTCCCTGGACGAGCCGCTGGACCTGAAGCTTCACTCTGGACGGCCGGGCGGTCCTGTGAAGTTTGGGAAGAGGTCCTGCCCCTCATCGATGTGCGCTCCCATCCACGCCTCGCGGCCACGCCTGCAGTGCACCACCTTCCCGTCGCCCCCTTCCTCACCAGGTAACCAGCTGGGGCGACCGAAGCCCTACAAGCTCAGTTAATGCACAGACCGGGTCAAGCCGGGCGCCCGCGTGGCATTGATGATGCCTGGTGTCAGCAGTGAATCTTTAACAACACCGATCCTCTGTTCTCACTTCTTCTCCGGTAACCTAATATTGTAAATCCAATAGAAGTTTGCTCCCCTCTGTCCTCACACAGAGGCGGTTTGTCAGCAGATTTGGACGCGTCGGCTCTAACGAGCTGAGCGTGACACCGACATGAGGCGACCCAAAGAAGACTGCGGCTGACGCGGACAGAATCATATGTTTGCCTCCAAACCCGGCTTCCCACTGGGTGCTGAGGCACGTCCAGGTTACACCTGGGGCGGAGGTGGAGACCGGATCGGGGAACGGTTCTTGTTAAGTCGGAAAGAAAAGTGGTTTTCAAACTGATTAGGAAGGAGTGGAAAAACCTGATCAAATTGCAGCTGTGACACGTGAACACAATGTAAGGCTAAAATGAAAAAAAAAAAAAGATTAGTGTAGATATTTCTAGAAGTATTTTATGTGGAATTAATCCTTATTAAATAAGGATGTAGGGTCATATTTTGGATTAACGTTAATATTCTTACTGATACATAACATCAGTTTGTTCAGCATTATTCAATTTATTTAAACATTGTAATGAATTTGATGGATATGGAGGAAGCTTTATTGATATCCATAAAATATGAATATGTTTAATATGATAATATGTGGATATTTTCTCTTACCTAGTGTTCAAAATTGGAAAAACAAAGGCAGCGTGATATTCAAGTATGGCAGACAATATCCAATACATTTAGCAAGAGATACTTTGCTTTTCACCTTCTTCTTTAAATTCTGCTATATTTAAACGGTTTATTCGTTTACTTTTGCGAACAAAAAATGCCGCAGGACTACGCGGCTCCACATTGCGGTCAGGTGCTTCTTGTTTGCTTAAGTAAGTCCCCACATGTGCATACAAGCTGTTTGTGCTCCGGTCAAAAACAGATGGAACCATTAATAGTCAAAAAAAAAAGAAAAAAGAAAAGAAGAAGAAAAAGGAACTCCTTCCAATCACCAAAAGAAATATGTGTGGAATCAAGAATTAAGGAACTTTTATGAAAGTAATTTTTCTCCCACCCCCCCATAGGGGGCGATATCTCAACAACACAAAAGGAAAAACAAATACATGTTAATGTGATTTTAAAGCACTAAATTCAAACATGTCTACTATCTGAAGATGGATCAAAACCCTGAGCTTATGAGAATCTAAGTGACTCAAGGCAACTTCAGAGACCAAACATTTAAGCATTAACCCTACTGACAAGCCCTGAATCACTTTGGACTTCAATGCCTGTTGATGCATATTCTACACAAACCAAGGATCAAACTAAAAACTTTTTCCTGATATCTAGCGATTGAGGTTATGCTAAATTATGACTTGCTTCGCAAATGGTAAATAGTGGTGGTTACCGTTATTGTTATTGAAAAGTTCATTAATTTCAGTAACTAAATTCACTAAGTGAAACACTTCATACAGGTTATGCATGTTTTGGTTAATTCTAAAGATTTTCTGGCTGCAGCTAATTAAAAACATGTCACTTTTGATAAGAATTTTACATCAGACCAATAAAAAACACAATCAAGTTAATATAGAAATGTGGGCTTAAGGAATATTGTGTTTAATACCTGCTTGAAGGTTATTTTCAAAGTCCTTCAGTCTGTTTAAAGGCATATTTGTAATTCACTGAATGACTGCGTTAGCCATGTGGGGAGTTGCCCAGGGCAGCATCAGAAATGGGGGTTACACAAACTCCAGATAAAATCATAGAAATGATCTGTCAGGTTTATCATGAAGAAATCTTCTATTCCTTTTTTTGTATGTGCAATCTATGGAGATATGGCGCCCCCAAGTGTTCAATATGCATATTCTATGTGCTGCATTCTGGTGCATTTTATTATTCACAACAATATCAGATTGTTCTATTTATTCACTAGAATTAACTGCTACATTCAATTGAACAATTACTACTTAATTTAGTAGAGATTAATCTACATAATCAACAACCAAAAACACATTATTTTTATAACTGGAATTGAATTCAGGCAGTCAGGAATTGAAGACTTTTAAGACTTCTGATACTGAATCTCGCCACAAATGAAACACAAAGATTACAAAGACAATGCATTTTTTTCCTGGCGTGTAAAATTGTCTGAAAATATTCTTTGTCATCGTTCACTTCGGCTCGATGGGATATTGATTGCCTGGAATTATTAATACATTTAAAGTCAAACAGAAGTGCTGCTGCATGAATAAATCTGCTAACGCAGTTACAGGTTGGGGGACAAAAATCTGAAAAGTTTAAACAAATTCTCTCTAACTAATCTAACTAGTCAAAGTCAGCTGAGGTGAGAAAGAAAAACGACAAAGAAAACAAAAACAGAATTTAAGGCTTAAACACTTAAAAGTTAAAGGTCAATTAAAGCCCCTGCTGGAGCCACTTAGTGGAAATGTGATTATAAAGCCCCACACACACCGCTGTGTAGTCCGCCATGAAAAATGAGGAGTTGCCATCTTTTTCAACCTCCAAACTTTCTGATCCAGATTCCCAGTCTTGTCAGGAGCGACCCGGCTGCTGCTTCACCCCTCCAGCCATGGACCTCAGCATGTCCCCGTCTTCTCAGCGGGCCCTCTCCCTGTCTCCGTCTCCGTCGTCCCCCTCGTCCCCATGCCCTCCCTCGCCCCTGGAGTCCCCTCGCAGCAGCAGCAGCAGCAGCAGTCCGCAGCCTCACCTCTTCTCTCGGGTAAGAGTTGCTGGTTGCACAATGACACACAGTGAGGTGCACAGTCACATCAGATGGCTGCGGCAGCACTGAATGTCTATTTAGCTTGAAGCCATTTTGACTGCTGACTTTAAAGCTGCAGTATGTAACTCAGTATTTCCCAAAGATTTTCTGGGTCCCCCTATGGATTACAATAAGAAATACCTCCAAAAAGAAAAAAAAACAATCATGACAATCTTCAGATCCACTCCAGAAAACTTGAGCACAAATCCACTTGACTTGTGTCACAGTAACCCCCCTGACTTCTTCTTCTGAATTGGGAAATATGCAATTAAATTTGTCTGATTCCAGCTATTCAGAGATCGGGGGTGAATCAAATTGTAGGCGTGTTTCAAAAATTAATTATAAAACATGCATTTTTTATAGTCAACTAAATCTTAAACATTCATTAAACATTAAACTTTAAGCTGACAACTTTAAGAGGTTTTTTTTCCAAAGTTTCCGTTTTCTCTTTTCTGAGTCTGACCAGTCTCGATCACTCCATAAAAACAATCCTTCTTTTTCTTTTTAAGATATTAATTGGTATTAATTGATGATCCAACACTGGATGTTTTCAACATCAAAACAATTCTTGGTGTTGTCAGACATCAGGTCTAACAGCAGGGGGCAGTAGATGCCACAAAAAAAAAAAAAGTGTTTTTTTTTTTTTTCTATAAAAATACATTTGTTCCATATTAGCAAAAAGAAAGCAATGAATTTTTCCAGTTTTTCTTTAGGTTTTTGTTGTTCGGCTGTAACATTTTGGATTTAAAAAAAAAAAAGAAGAAGAAAAAAGTTACTACTGAATTCAACCGATTCTTAACAGTGCTCGGAGGTATTCAGGAATTTTTAAATCATCTTAAAAGTATTAAAGGACAGGTCAAAGCTAGAAGCTTTCCCTCCGTCCATAGAATGACTCAGTTTCAGTGTGATGTGATGGCCGTTTGCGTGAACTTTCAAACCCCTCTCTCTGTGTGGCCTTCTCCTCCGGCAGGAAGCGTCTTGGCATCACGGTGTTGAAGGCGGAGCCTCCCAGCCCGGATTTCCATTCTATTTCCCCATGAGGAGCCTGCAGAGGGGCTACAGCTTCTCCTCCTCTGTGTTTGTCGGCCAGCACAGAGAGAAAGCCGTTTCCCCCGAGCCCTCACAGGATGGTCAGCTGGCCTGTCGGTGGAAGAAGGTAAAACTCCTGCTCAGTTTGACACACTGTGCAAAGTTGTCTTTCGATATTTAACCATGATAAAGAAACGGTCATCTCTGATACAATTGATGTTTATATGGGGGGGAAAAAACTGCAGCTGCAACTCTGGGCACTAAGTGGAGGTATACGCAAATAATAATAATAATATAAATATGAAATAGTCAAATAAATAGAAAAAGAAAAGACGGAGTACTAAACACTAAATAGAAATCAATGCTGAGCTGCAAGTTATGCTGTATTATATGGCATTCCTGATAATTGCTCTTCAGTTCATGAAATGCTAAAAAGCACATGGTGAAATGAGATGGCAGTAAATGCGAAAAAAATCGAATCAAATATTTGATATCAATAAAATTGGAGGAATAAAACAGTGGATATCGAAAAATGTGGTAGAAAAATTAGGAGCCAATTTGAATAGAAAGGCCTAGAAATGATTATGCGTGGATAATAATATATAAATGTTACTGTGTTTGTGTTTTGATTTAAAATGTGAGTTATTGAGATTACACACTGAGATAAAATCCAGCAGATACAGAGCAAACATATAGTTAAAACAATTTCTGGTACTTTCATATGTCTTGAAGAAGAGAGCTGATCTCCAGGGTTCTTTAATGAAAAACCATTGTTGGTTGAGAAAACGCTAGATGCCCAGAACCAGAGCCAAAAATGGAGAAATAGCTGTCATGGTGTGTGTTGGTACACTGGGGACTAGGAAATGAAGTCTAATGTAGAAAAATAACAAGACACAAGAAATAAACAAACTAGAATCACTAGATAGGACAGAAATAAAGTGAAACAGAAACCAGGCTGATCCAATCAAAAGAACCTGATTTCTTCTGTATTCTCTAACAAATACTAAAGAGACAAACCCAAAACAACTCCGACAATCGCATTGGAGCAGGAACAAACTTCCAGAAAACTGCAAACACACTGACACGCTGACTTCCTTTAAATCAGCGTCACCTGTTTAGAGTTGACTTTGTTAAGCAGTAAGTGGAACGTTAACCAAAATATCTGACATACAGTATGCTTTCTTTATGATTCTTATGATGGCAGTTTGTTGCTTGTTTAATGAGTAACTACATTTTATATTTCTGTGGCGTAAAGCACTTTGAACTCCCTTGCTGCTGAAATGTGCTCTACTGATACTGAAACGACTTCAGCCAGTCCTCAAGGGACGCTGTCCTGAAGTTTTTAGATGTGCCACTGGTACAAAACACCGGGATGAAATGGCTAAATTACCTCCTCCTTGCGTAGATCAGTTCTCCAGCAGAGGCGGGTCACCGGCCCTCGAGGACTGGAGTTTGACACCCCTGACTGCACCGATCAGTTATTGTCACAGAATGACTTGTACAACATCCCTCACTGATTTCTGTCCTCTCCCGTCTCTCCCCTCTCAAGTGTCACCTGCTTTTCGACTCACTCCAGGAGCTGGTAGATCACATTAACGACTTCCACGTCAAGCCTGAGAAAGACTCTGGGTACTGCTGCCAGTGGGAAGGCTGCGCTCGCAACGGGAGAGGCTTCAACGCCAGGTACGGCGCACAAGCACAGGGTCAAAGGGTCAAAGGGTCGAGGGGTTCATACCTGATGTCCTGCCGGAAACAGGACATTTTGGGTTAATGACCTTTTAGAGAGAAAGAAGAACGTTTGAGAGAATTTGAATAAACAATCCGACAGGCTTCCATCAAAGGTCATCAAAGAGCAATTCTTTGAGCCAAGTCTTTTTGGGTGATGCACACACCCAAAGCACACGTATGATGGTTGTAAGTTGATGTTGTTTGCGCTGCAGGTACAAAATGCTGATTCACATCCGCACCCACACCAACGAGAAGCCGCACCACTGTCCCACCTGCAACAAGAGCTTCTCACGTCTGGAGAACCTGAAGATTCATACCCGCTCCCACACAGGTGATCCAGCATCCACCCGAAAATCGAAACAGATTGAATATGAAATGTGAAAGATTATTCCAAATTAACATGATATAGTATTTCAAAAGTATTGGATTGCTTGCCTTTATCCATACATGCACTGTAAAGACATTTCATGATGGCTTTTGACCGTCCCTTAGTGTCGACGGCAATGGAAAGGATGTCTACAGGATTTAGAAGAGTCTTTCTAGAAATGTTCTACCATTCTTTCAGAAGTGCATTTGTGAGGTCAGACACTGATGTTGGACCAAAAAGATCTGGCCTTGCTCCAATTCATGCTAAACGTGCCTCACCCAATCGAGATCTGGTTGCAGGCCTGTCTTACTCTCATGCATGTCTTGTTGGGTCTTTCTTTGTGAACCGGTGAGCATTAAGTTGGAACAGGAAGGGACTGCGTTCGACCTGCTGCATTCAGTGTGAACATGTGACGCATGTCAAAAATTGTCCACTTTGAAGTCAAGCATCAACATCATCTGAGTAAAAGTGACATGCCTTCCCCATGACTTTTTTTTTTCTGCTCCCAGTTTCTTAGTACAGTAGCGGAACAACTAAGAAAGTGTTTTGGTTTTATGTACTGGGAGAAAGAGAATGTTGTAATCGGACGCCTGTGTGTCTGAATTCCCCAGGAAATTCAGAGGTGTTAGTTTGGTGAGCTGGACACTGACAAGGGTCACAATCAGCACTCTTTTTATCTCACAAGAGCCCAGCATGGCAGGATACTGACTACAGGCCACTATGTCCAGCATCGGTCGCATTGGACACACTGGACACGGGTTAAATGCTCAAAACATGTCCTTCTTGACATGCCCTAATCATGCGTCCACAAAGCCTTTGTCATTACATTGACTGTAATGCTCAGCATTGCATTAGATTGTCATTGAAATACACTGTTTTTGTTCTTTTGTGAACAACAATAATATCAACAATAATATTGACAGTGGTACATTTTCTTGGAACCTGTCATCCGTTTTAATTTCTTAGAAGCAGGGAATTCCAGGAGTTTGTGTAGGTAAATATATTAAGTATGCATGGATGTATTGTGTGTATTATACATAAAACTCTTTACCTTATTCATCGCCGTCGGTGAGTTATAAAAGTATGTGTAATTAGGTGGAGAACTGATGAAGCAATGCTGATGTCAAAGGCTGTTTCTGGATAATAAGATTCCTCTAACAGTCTTCAGTCTGGCACCAGGGAGACCAGCAAGAGAACAAGGACTGGGAGGGAAGAACCCAAAGATCTTCCACATTGAAGATGAAAGATCTTCTGTATGGTACTTCTTCTGTGCTGCATCTTCTGTTTGCACTTGGACCTGCAAACAACAACAAAAAATGCAGAAACATAAGGAAACAAAATTTATGACTAAATTGGCCTGCAACCAGTTTCATTTTCTTCATTTTTGACGTGTGCCCTTCATTGTGGCAAAAGGTTTTTTTTTATGATTAGACTTGTAGAGTGCACTGCTATAGGTTGAGCTGTGAATCTTTGCCGCTCCTCCAGAGTTAACATAAGTTTGCTTCTCTCATTATTCAGTTTATTAGCTTTGTAAAATGTTCAAAGCTTTGCATACTGTTATAGAAGCGAACCCTAATTTAAGCTTCTCCACAACTGTGTGGTTAATTTCTTGCTGTTCATCATGGTGTCTGTTTATTAATGTTCTTGAGCAAATCCGAGATTTCCCCCCAGGGTTTTGTAAGCCTGGCGGGTCACCAGACTTTACTTACAAAGATTTACAACCTTCAGGCAGCCTTCTCACATCTATTTCTCTTCTCTCTTCTAGGCGAGAAGCCCTACATTTGTCCATACGAAGGCTGCAACAAACGCTACTCCAACTCGAGCGACCGCTTCAAGCACACACGCACCCATTACGTGGACAAGCCTTACTGCTGCAAGATGGCGGGCTGTTTGAAACGCTACACGGATCCCAGCTCACTGCGGAAGCACATCAAGGCTCACGGCCACTTTGTCGCCCAGGAGTCGGGTCCTGCTCCCAGGCTGCGGACTGGAATGGGGCTGGGGTTCTCTGGGCACCAAAACTCCGCCGAGCTGTCCTCTGCAGGCGGGCGCCACGTCATCCTTCCAGGAGCGGCAGCGGCTCTTCTCGGCGGCCTTGGGACGTCCTTACCCCTCTCTGCTCTCTGCCACACCAGGGGCTTGGATCACCACGGAGCACCCATCTTCTCCATGAGTGGAGGCGGCCGCTGTGGGATCAGTCCACTCGGCCTTTCCGATTCTGCGCTGTTGCACCTCCGGCTCTCTGCCGCGTCTATGCTGGGGCTGGGAGCTCTGGGAGGTCTGGGTCAGATGACAGGAAAGAAGTTAGAGGGAGACAATGAAAACGAGGGGAAAAAGGAGGGCGAGGCTCTTAACCTGTCTGTCGGAGTGGGACCCAGACCAGGGGATTCTTTGTCTTGGGTGATTGTTCCCTCAAACACGTTTTTTCTAAAGCCCACAGCTGTTAGTTAAGCTGTGAGAGCCACCATGAACACTGCAGCTTTGGAGGAGCATTGTGGAGAATTTCATCAGATTTTAAAGGAACCAAACGACATGTGGCATGGCTTGATTGCACCGTTAGATCATCTGTTTGTTTTGGTTGAACTTACTCATAGGCGGTACAGTGCAAACATTTCAGACATGTCTGGACAAGAATGTTTTCAAAAATAAAAGCGGGAGTTGTCTTTGAGTTTCAAAGCAGCATCAATTCCCAAAAGTACACTTGCACATGGCTTTTAAAGGGGCAGTATTATATGTTTTTCATGCAAATAATGCCATTTTATAACACAATCAAGTAACTGTATAAACTTCAGTTATTACAAATATCAATTATGACTTGAAAGAAATTGGACTTTGTAATTTCTCACCTTGAAATTGGATCTCTGCTTATAAAAAAACAATTCTGTATATATCTTGAAAACATTCTAATTAGATTTTTTTTCTGAACCTGTCTATAATATTTGCACAGAACCGCTTATCCCTTCCCTTTACTTGATTTTCTTATGATTTACAGTCTTTCCAGTTGACTTTTGCCTGACAAATCGTCTGCGTCTTTGCACTTACGAAACTGTGGCATAACACTTGCAATATGGTTACAGTACGAAATTTATCTATCTGGGAGTAAAATCAAAAACACACTGCGTGATGAAAATGTACTTTTGCAGCATCGGTTACTTCAGTTAATTGATTATTTTGTCGTTGGAATTGAGCGGATTTGAATTGCAGTAACATGCAGACCACTCAGAGCATCTGAACAAAAGACACGCCCACTTTTGTTTTGTTGAAAACCAGTGCAGTGACACCTTTACAACTTTTGTAAATCGAAATTTTCCATGTGCTACAGAACACCTGTACCGTGATAACAAGGTGTCTTTGGTTTCTGTGTCGAACAAAAGCAGCTGTGTGTGAAAAGCTCACCTCAGGAGCTAATCTGGGAACTAATTAGCCCTCTGGACGAGTCCCGACGGGTCTAATTAAATATATAACTTATATATAACTAGATGCTCGACCGACCTATCAGTACTCCTACTGTGGATCTCACCTGCATCGTCGCTTAGTTTCTCTTACAGCTCTGAATCGAATTGGCACATTTTCATGACGACAGTGCATGATGGCGAGTCAGAAACGCATCATCATACAGACGACATTGTGATGTTTTTTTTCCTTTTCTTTTCTTTTTCAGATCACAATAGGAAAAATAAAATAATTTGACGCAACTGAATGTAGGGTTACGGTTAACTCCTGTATTTGGGGATAGCTTTTTGTTTGTTTGTTTGTTTGTTTGTTTTTAACGGTAGCTTATTTGTCGCTGCATTCAAAGACAACGATCTTGGCAGGATCAGCCCAGCATCTTTTCAACGACAGACTGATCATCGAGAAAGACAAAGGTGTGTGTGAGCGAATGCACATCTGCTTCAAGTGACTGTTAACATGAAGAACAGCAGATTCTGAGATACTGAACGACATCTTGAATATTCTCAGAGTGTAACAAAAAAAAAAAGAAGAAGAAAACATCCACAACCACATTAAAACCCATCTGCATGTTAGGAATTTTGATGTTTTTCTTAAACCAGCACACACTGCCAGTGTGCCCAATGTTGTACTGCTAATATTATCGCAATTATTTACTTGTCTGTTGCTGTGTGAAATAGGTACATTTTATTATTGTTTTCCTTTTTTGTTGTTGTTGTTCAAATGTAGGGAATAATTTGAGGCACCAGTTACGATTTATGCATTGCCAAAGATGCTAAAAGGATGAAAGAAACGTTTCTTTTTCTTAAAAAGCATTAAAATAATAGAACAGTTCGACAATGGCCACGGGCGGCCAGTACCTGCGCTCATTTATCCTGTTTGCACATGATTTTACGGTAATCAGTATATCAAACGTTTTCCAAGTGCCTTGTGTTCCATCTGAATTATATAAACCTTTTTTTTTTTTAATCTGACAGCAGATGTTATCAAGACATCAGGGCCCTTTGCAACACTTTTCATCGACAACAAATGTTTTGATGATCTGTCAATAAAAAGATGGAAAGAAAATCAAAATGGTCTGTCTCCCACTTTATTTATTTATTTATTTATTTTTGTCACTCTGATATCATCTGAGTTCCTCGTGGATTTTCGGAGACGATTTCAGGCGTAGCCCTCAAGTTTTTTTGTCGTCCAGCCTGTGCGTCTGCAAGGATTCGGCGTCGTGGGAGAGCAGAAACGATCGTTTTAGAAACCGGATGCCAGAGTGGATTTGTTTCAAAACGTCACAAAATTCTGGTTTTTCCGTCCTTTTTTTTTTTTTTTTTTTTTTTTTTTTGGCAGCGTTACAGCGCCACCCATTGGCCCGGCATACTTTGTGCGTCGCCCTTTTCTAAACATGCAGTGAATAAATCAATTTTCAGCCAGTTTTTTGTACCAGAGTTAAGAATAAACACGCTTTCATTAAGGCTATATATTTATATATCAATTGACATCTGTGACTGTATACAAAGCAGACCAGCAATACTGCCGTTAGCAATATTTGCTTATTGCGAGGGAATAAGCAAATATTCCCTTGCAAATAAGAAAACTTTTTTCCCCATTCCCCCTAGTTGCCTCCGTATCCAACAGAAATGTTTCAAAAACATAAATAAATCAGCAAATTTACCAAGACTTGACAAGACAGCCAAGAGGTTCATAGTAGGATGTTAGGAGCTTCAAGGACTTGGGAGGGAGAACCTGTTCACAAGACAGCTACCAGTCACACACTTGATGTGCTCTGCAAATATGAATGAAGAATATCTCCAGCGTCCAGGAGCAAAAAGCTGATGGAGACGTGCCTGAAAATTTGCACCTAAGCAACGTTTTGGTCCGGAGGAGCTGAAAACAGAACAAAGTAGCGGGCCTCTGTTTAGTGACTTCATCCTGGACGCCTTTATGTAAAAATCTGTTCAAAGGACAATAGCGTTTGAGGTGGGAATAAAATGTGAAGAATTTCGACAAGCGCAGCCTTGTCTGAGTGGGAGAGTGTCTGTACTCGATTCGGATCATCTGCAGGTCGTACTTTTTCAGGGCACTGTTCTTCTTGTTGCTACATTTTTTGTGCTACTGACACAGAAGCAGAAATGTTTCGTTTTGGATCGGTGCTCCACATTCCCTGGTTTTAACATGGCATCAAAGGATATTTCATAATCCTTTCGTCAACCCGACGTCCAGATCATAAAGCGTAAATGATCCAGTCAGGGAAACATTCTCATCAAATGGATTTTTAACCTTAAGGGAAAACTTTAGAGGCTCCATCATTTACTGTTACAAATCAACTCATGTCGTTTCATTCGCTGACTTGCGTTCTCTCGGCGTCGCTCCTCTCAGGTGTCGAATGCGTTTCGATGGAACAAGAGAGGCTTCGACGCCAGACGCTTTGTACTCACACACAATGAAAAGCGAAAACAGTGAAGCTCTTCAGACCGGCTGTGGCCCAATAACTTCACCCTCTTTGGATCTTCAAAAGTAAAGACTTTCTCTTTTATTTAAGCACGTTGTCAGGGCGTATCACAATAACATCCTTTTCTATTAGCATGAAGTGCATTTTATGGTGGTTGACTTTATGCTGGTTGACTTTATGCTGGTTCACTTTTGCACTTGCACCGCCAAGAAACCGCACAGCTGTCTTACGTGCAACACGAGCTTTTTAGGTCTGAAGATTCATGTTACTGCAGAGCTCTGGGAAATACTTTTCTGAGAAAGACAAAAGCTCTTTCCGTGAAACGGCGATGAGTAAAGCCCATTCTTCAGTCACTGACTGCATTTCCATTGACAATACGACTGCACAAACTGAAATTACGAAAACAAATGTACCTCATGCCAATTTCTTTTTTAAAAAACATGTTTTTAGGCTATGATGAGGTGTTTTTTTTCTGCTGTACATTAAAATAGATTTATTTAGCAAAACTGAGAGGGGCCTCCAAATCCGAAGCCACGGTCCAGAGCCGGAAAAGGGTAGAGCAACTTCTGACCCAAGTGGAGGAGTTCAAGCATCTCTGGATCTTGTTCACGAATGAGGGAAGAAGTGAGCGGAAGATCGACAGGCGGGTTGGCGCTGCACCGGTTACTCCCTCTGTCATTTCTCCTTTCAGTTCTGCATGTTTTCTTTGCAGTCTGTGTTTTGCTTTCGCGTTCTAATTTATTATTTCTGCTTGCTCGGTTATGTGAGTCTTGGAATTATTTGCCGTCATTACTACTTGTTTATTTTTAGGCTTCCTCCTGGTTCCATCTTTGTCTTCACGTCCTACTGCTGCATCTCATTCTCCCACTAGACACTTCGCTTTTTAACTCTGTAAATATTAAGTGACAAACGCAAACTCAGCTGCATGTACAGGGAATAATACCACTGATGCGTTTCCACCCAGATAGAGTAAATATTAGTTATTTAGTGGTTCAGAGGGCGTAACATATGCAAGTGCTGACGCTCAACCAGACCCAATACCTGTTTCGATGTTTTCCTATCTCTTTGATCGCTCAGTGAAGTCACACTGCACACAGATAAGAATCACGAAAGAAAGAAATATTAATTTATTTCAACGACTTTTCTCTGCCTGGGGAACAATGTATGAGACCTGAGAAGGTGCAAAATCAGATAAACAGGCTGAACATGATAAACTAGTTCAGGTGGAAATGTGTGAGAAGTCTAATTCTGTTCAGCGTGGCAGCTTGATCCTGCTGGAAAGCCTGAGCAACATATTTATGATCATGGTGATGACGTAGCATTCAGTTTTACTGAGCTGGCCAAACATTTCCCATGGTTCAGATCTGCAGGACAAAGTCAATAGAAGTGTGATCTGTAATTACTGAGCTGCACACTGTAACTGCATTTAATCATATTTCTGATTTCTTGGTACTTATTTATGCTGTTATGAAACGGTAGAAAAATAAAAATGGTAAAATTAACATTTCCAACGAGTTTCTTTTAAAGTTACCATCAATACAATAAATCTCAACATTTTGACACTTCCTTTTTCTGAAAGGATTTGAAGTGAGCAGACTGAAATCTTATCTAAGAATTATTTTGTGCAAAAAAATTTAACAAAGATGTTTTGCATCGCCCATCGACCTAACCCAACCTCTGCAAGAAAGTATAAATGGTGGGTGAACTTTAAGTTTGCAGGCAATTGTAGATGTAAATATACAATTTTAGTTAATATTCGAATGTAAGTAAGTTTAACTCTATTAGCACTAATCTATGGGGCCAAACTATTGAAACAATCAAGTACTTTACTTGGTAAAGTGCTCTCCAATTAACGGAGGTTTTAAAAAACTTTGACAGTTACGTAGCTTTCCAGCTTCCTCTGTTACAGTTTTAGTATTAAGCTCACACTCCTCTCTCGATGCCCTCGTTTACCTTGATTGCACAAGAAATGAGTCACTGCTATTTTTCAGAATTTCCTCTTTGTCAGTGTGTTCCTTCCCTGCTTTCTAACATCCGTTTCTCCATTGTTGCAAGGAGAGAAGGCGTGAAGGCTGAAACATAAAGCTGTTCAAACTTTAGCGAGCGTCAAGGAGCGTCATGTATAAGGGGCCTCATGCAAATAAGGTTTTGCATCACAAAATGATGTTTTGTGATGCATTTCAGAGCCATAAAACAGCATATTAGCCTTTTGTCACTGATAGCTTTTGTAACGATTAAGCCACTTTAATTCTTCACAGGTCAAACAAAACAAAAACAAGTGTTCATATACTCAGAATATGTTGGTGAAAGTTGTACAAATTAGGCACAAAACATAACAGAATCAGTTTATGCACATAAGCAAACCATGTCCTGATTGTGGGGTGAAAGGTCATTCAGTGAAGTAGAAGGTGTCACCCCAAAAAGCAAAAGAGAAATTAATTAAGAAGAAAAAAAAAGTTAAAACAAACAAAATAACTAAAACTGATATTGAGATTTTTGTTAACTCAAATAAATAAAAATGGTAATTGAAGCGCAAAATCTGTAACTAGACAATAATAACTAATAAAAAGTAGTAGGGGAGAGACAAAGCACTGGAAAATTCATAAGCTTCAAAGGATTAATTTAGTAGTGCGGACAGGTGTGAACGCTGTAGGTGTTAAAGTACGACAAGCATCTTTATTTTAAACGTATTTAACTTCACAGTCATATATTTGGTTTGTAAGGTAAATATTTAAACCTATGCAAATATTGAGTAAAACAGCAGCAAGCTCAATAATGAAAAATAAACACCCAAATAAACTAAATGTCAAGTGTTTCACTGTGCAACTTCACAAACCTCATACCAATGCTCCGCTTTTGCATAAAAACAGTCTTATCAACATAATAATAAAATTAACTCAGCCCTAACAAATGACATAAAGAATATTGTCACAATATGAGGCAGAGGTGGTGAGGCAGAAGGCCGGGGGCCCGGCTTGAAATCAGTGACGGCGGTTTAATAACGAAGGAGGCACAAACTGTCCAAAAGTCCTGGCAGCACAGCTGAGCGCAAAGGCTAAGGAAGCAACTAGTAACAAAAACCAGGACACGACAGGAACAGGGCAGAGTGGACAGACTGGTACGATAAGGACACAGTAACACTCAGGGGCCTCCAGACATCTCCAGAAATGGTTTAATTGTAACACAGACCATAGATCTAAACTTGTAGCATTCATTTATAGAGAAAGACAATGTTATAAAATTGTATTTAATGGATTCAGCTGAGAAAAATTAATAGTACATTTAGGATTCAATGAGGAAGTTTACTTTATAAAAGTTTAAAGAACCATCTTGATAGTTTGATTGTTGTGTCACCATGGCTACAATATGGTGTAATCTTTGTATTTGAATTGAATTTGTTTACAAATACATCACAGCAAATAACAAATAATGAGTGATTGATTTTAAACTTGGCTGATAAACCTGATCTCCGTCTCACAGATTCACCTTATGGATATTCAAACATGTTAGTGATGCTGAGGTTCTTAGTAGGACCGAATCCATATTACCTTGGGCCGGCCCTGCATGAACAGCTCATCTCATGATGCTCATCTCTGGAATCTATGAATCCCCCGGTGTCCCCTATGTCAGTCCCCCGATGCTTTGGGGACATTTTGATTCATTTAATTGTGGCATGTTTGGCTTCATGCTGCGGTTGTAATTACTGCTCCAGTATTTTCTCTGATGTTTATTTTGTGAAATCTTCCTTTAACACAACCCCTCCCTCCCCGCACCACATACACCTGTGCACGAGCTTATAAGACACAGGAAACCTCAAATAAACACACAGAATAAACTTCTAAAGCGCAGTCTGCACGACTGGACGATTCGGGAGCCGAATTTCATTGAAAGTTTGGATTTGAAACTTTATGACAGCTGGAGGTGCGCTCCGTTCTCCGGCGTCACGCCCGTCGCATTCCTCCTTTTGTTTTTCGTGTTCGCCGGAGCTGAAGTTCGCGCGACACCATTGCTCCAGTTCCCTCCCACGCCGGCGTGTCCCTCCACCCGGTCCACTCCCAAGGTGACTGTACGCCCAGCGGCGACACCTGGCCACAGCAATGAGTCGTACCTTCGCAAGACGTCGTTAGTTTGAGAGAGGCTGCGGCAGCTGGACCTGGGTCGGCTCGGTTCGCAGCAGCAGCAGCAGCAGCAGCAGCAATGGGGGACCAAGATGCTGGTTCGGATGAAGGAGTTGGCCTGAGAAGGTAAAGGCTCTAAATTATTGACACGGAAGCTGAAACTGACCTTTAGACAACTAACCTGGAGAAGGAAGGAGTTTTCTCTCCCTCAGACACAAACAGCCTTACATTTAACATCAGAACTAAATCCCAACTCTTTGACAAATCAGACTTTCATATCTTTGATGAAAGTCTGATGATTAAAAACAATGACTTTCAGGCCATTGTGCCACACCAACTTTATTTATGAAGCACTTTATACTCTGCCAGGACAGGAAGTGCTGCACCACAATCATAAAATACAAAGCAATTATAAAATAGACAAGAGCGAATACAAAATGCATATTAATACACAGAGACAATGAGACACACATCTCAGATTGTGCCAAAGAGAGAAAGAGGGCACCTCTCTGGCACCTTCAGGAGCAACTTACCGCCGACCTGAACGGGAGGGTGAGTCACAAACAGGGAAGGGCAAGGCTGGCAAGTAAAAACAAGCAAAATGATTTGAAAATGAATCCTAAAATGTACTGGCGACCAGTGCGAGGAGGCTAAAACTGGGGACGTTTTTGTGCACCTGTTAAAAGACGCGCAGCAGCATTTTGTACCCTCTGGAGCTGGGAAATGTGTAAATCACTGACTCCTATATAAAGTGCATTACAGTAATCCAGCCGTGTGGCCACAAATGCATAGATCACTGTTTCGAAGTGCTGTCTGGAAAGAACAGGTTTTACTTTGGCCAGCTGCCTTCAGTGGGAAAAGCTGGATCTGATGTGTGCGTCCAGCTTAAGACCTGCATCCGTCTTGACCCATAAATTTGTAATAACCGCCTTGACATACGGGGCCAAAGATTGGTCAGGGAATCTACACTGAATCTGCCAAAAGTCACTACCTCTGCTTGTCTTCATTAAGTTTCAAGACATTCAGGGCCACCCGGGCCAGGTTATAGTACAAGCGGGATGTAAACGTCAATTTTACGCATTTATTCATTTCTTTGTCTTCACCTACACCTTTCATGTTTTATGAAAGGTGTAGCTTTCATAAAACATGTCTGTAGAAGATACTTACAGACATTAACTTGTCTGTAATTATGACTTTGTGGTTGTAAAATAACATTTACAACCACAAAAGAAAAAAAACAGAAAAGAAAAAAACCTGTACAACTAATTGGCTGGAGTCGCTTGTATTTTCCAACTATAAGTTTTTCCGTTACCCATTTCAGTCGCTATGTTGTAGTTTTAAGCAAATGTAAAACAAAAAGTGTGCCTTAATATATTAGTTAGCTGAATATATTCTATTAAATGTTAAATTTATTATTTTTTTAAGTGTATTAGCTTTTAAACTTCATGTTGTCAGACAGGCTCTGTGAAAGAAGACATGTCTTGATTCTACATGTCTTAAAAATGTGGAAAAGATTGAAAAGACATGAAAATGACAAAAAACTTTAAACAAAGGGGCAGAGTGGTTCTGAATCTAAGATCCGGTAGCAACAAGTCAGCTCGGTAGTTAAAGCTGATCCGACTAGTTAAAATGAAAAAAATCTGCTGGTAGATGTATTTTCACTACCTTACCCGGAAGCCCAGCTATCAAATGTCTAATTTCAGTTTGCAACAAAATTAAGTAAAGACATTTTTCCACTGTTTCAGACAAGACTCTGTTAAATGGTTTGAATTAAACTTGTTCAGTGAGTTGAAGCAGAAAGAAAATAGATTGTTTTGTTTTCTGACAGTGATAACAAAGGAGTGACATGTCATGTCACTCCTTAGTTGTTCACATTTCACCCGCTTCCTGTTCAGATGCATTTCTGCACTTTGGTTTGGTTTTAGTAGTGTCTAACTTTGACATAATCGGTGCATCATTTGGTGATGACGCCAAAAATCGGGTGAAAACTGTTGTCTACATCATCAGCCCACACGCCTTTTTCAAAAATGATTATTATTATTATGTCTAGAGAAAAAAAATTACGTTTTTTTTTTTTAATGTCAAGCTTGCTTGTGGTTGCAAGGTGACAGCTGCAACTGTCACGCTGCAAAGTGTAGCGTTTCACAACCCACCGTAGTCCTGACGCTGCATACACTTCCAAAATGCTGAAAGTGCAACATAATTTACAGCAACTTCCTCATTTTTAACTACTGTTGTGTGTGGATGATGATTTTAATATTCAAAAATTATGATTATATAATTTAGTGAAGTAGGATTTGTCCACAAAGAACAGTGCAGACATTACAACATGAGTCAGTGAATGGGATGATCACTGAAAGAAACATTTAGCCCAGCTAACGCTCACGATACAAAAAGTAACATCTAGCAGTCTAGATGTTACTAGCGGACATAAGCTGTCTGCTAACATACAGTGCATGAGCCAACACCTTATTCCTATGGTGAGAAGGTATCACACATCTGATGATGCGTAATGTTTTATGATCGCTTCTTTACAGCTTTTTTTCCCCATGGAAGCTAGCATTGAGCATTGCGACGTACAATCAGTCTTTATTTGTATAGCACTATTTATTACACACTAAACGTGCCTCACAAGTAAAATAGGCAAAATAGTTACATAAAAAAATTCAAGCGCAATGACCCAGAATGAAATATGCGACAAAAGCAAGAGAAGTAGTGTCATGATCGGGCTAATTGTCCAACTAAAAGGAAAGGAAAACTTAGGTGTTTCTGGAAGAGATTTGCCGTGAGTTCACATCAGACCTGTTCAGTCTGATTTATTTGAACTCTAGTTCGTTTGCCAAAGAGAGTCTGATACGTCTGTGGAGGCGTGAATGCGCAATCGAACCTTGATGCGGACCAAAAACTTCAAACTCGGGTTCGCCTAATAATCTGCGTCTAGGCTTGGTTGAAGTAGGGGAAAAATGCTGAGCATTCTGGGTAAAAACAACCAAAACAAGCATGTGAGCCTAGCGCTAGGCTAAAATTAGACTAGCGATAAAATTGTACCAAATACAGAAAAGAAATCCTACAGCGGCTACCATCCGATGCCATATTTGTTCACATTTTGTGGAGAAGGAAGTTGTGCTCAGTATCTTCTTCAGACGTTTCCTTCGGTTCTTGGTGTAGCGCCTCAGCAGGCGAGAAGGGGAACACGTCTTTCAACGGGTTCAGTTCGCTGGACGCAGTGTGAAAGTGAACCACACCTGCTGAAAATGTAATATCTTGCAATTTTGGTCCCCAATCAAGCTGACTCTACTGAGCTGTCAGGTGTGACACAAAGTGTCCAAACGGGGCTCTTAGTCCTTTATCTAAAGCTGATCACAGGCAGATGAAAATTAAGAGACACTTTTGGGGAACAAAGTGAATCATGTAACAACTTGTTATCATCTTTGCTCCCTTTAGCTCTTCATATCTGTCAGATGCCAGCTCTGAAAGATACTAAGCACACAAATGACAAAATGTGTCTAAAGGACGCTTTTTTGTCCTTTAGACAAAAAAGCGTCTAAAGGACACTTTTTTGTCCTTTAGGACGCTTTTTGTCATCGAAGTTTCAGCTTGCTGTCTAAATTTAAAAGCTGTTACAGGATTTCAGCTTCATTCATTCAACGTAGAAAAGGTGGAAAGGTCATGCACTTTCGTTGACATTATTTAGCCAAAAAAACACAAACGTTTTGGAACGTTACTAGAAATGCTCCGATCTGACACTAACATCTGTATCGTTTGATATCGAAAGACATTCTAGGTCGGGTATCGTGACAATGTTTCCGATCCGTCAGGGCAGATCTGTTCAGTGTAACTCTATCTGAGAGGAACAAGAAGAAACTGGTTCACTGATATTTTTTGATGTTAGTGAAAGGATGTAATCTTTAAAATGTATTCAGTGAGGCCTTCTGCTTGATCTGCAATTCACTGGTACTGGTTGATATTTATAGGAGTCAAAGTCTGACTCATGGAAATGTTATATTTAATATTTAACATCTTATAAGCACAGTTTGTGTTGAATTTAGCTGCTGCCTGTCCTGCACCCTTCTTACCATAGCATGCCAGCATGTGTGTGGCTCAGAGACAACTTTATTTGTAAAACTGCTCAACCTGACTGATGACTGTTTTTTTTCTTTCACTCCAGCGAAGTAGAACAAGCCATTAGTTTGTCCTCCAGAAGCCTTTAGAAGCACAACTACAGCGATAGCTCAGGATAACTCTTAAGTTTAAGCTTTATCAAAAAGAAAGCGTTAAGCATTGGCTTAAAAATAGTCAATAGTCTCACAGACTACAATTGGAAGTTCGTTTTGCAGGAGACTTAAAACTAAATGATCTGCCTCCCATTCTACTTTTAGAAGCTCCAGTAATCAGCTGCAGAGCTGCAGTTTGAGACCAAAGGGTTGTGTTAGGACCGTATAAAGCTTTCGGTTCTGACGTACGATGGACCTCGGTTGTCTTCACCATCGCTGTGGTTTGCATATGTAGTTTGTGTGTCAGATTTACGGGTGTGCCAGAATCGTGTGAATACACATTTTCCAGCCAGACCTTTAGAGAAGAGAGAAAAAAGAGCTGCGTTCAACATTTTAATGCGTGAAAGTCTGTGAGATTAAGATGATCAATTTGTACTTTTTACTTTTGTCTTTGTTAGCTGAACAGCCCTTTAATACGTTTTTTTCTGTCAAACTTTTTTTTTCAATCTTAATTGCTTTAGTGTTATGCGTTTTTATTATTTTTTGGGGGGGTTGTGCATCTTGAGTTGCTGTAAATGTGCTACATAAATGAATCTGACCTCTTACCTCAGCTGACGTGTTGCTCGAAAATAACACCAAAGTTCTTTACATCATTACCAGAGGACAATTTAATGCCACCCGGAGTAAGTGACTAGCTAAGCAGTTGTTCTTCTAGAGCACAGGAGTCAAACTCCAGTCCTTGAGGGACGCTGTCCTGCAGTGTTTAGATCAGCCACAGGTACAAAACACTGGAATGAAATGGCTTAATTACCTCCTTGTGTAGATCAGTTCTCCGGAGCCTTAATGACCTAATTACTCTATTCAGGTGCAGCAGAGGCACATCTAACAGTTGCAGGACAGTGGCTCCTGAGGCCTGCAGTTTGAGCCTCTTGTTCAGTGACAACAGCCTCTGTCATGAAAATGAATTCATCCTGTTTGTTGCCTAAGCACTGAACCGTGTGGCACTCCACACGGTTCAGTAACAAGTAACAAAGTTCAAGAGGAAGATTATTTATTTGTGTTAATGAGCAAACTCTGTGAGAGAACCGTACCCTGGACATAGAAGCTGAAGTTAAAGTATCTACCACAACAGGTTGTTAAGCAGGTTGAAGGGTAAGTTAATCGGGCTGAAAGCGGTTAGTTCCAGTTGAATTAAAAAAGTGAAATGTGTGTTTTTCTTGTACTTTGCAATTATGCCCTTCTCAGTGATGGTAGATTGGATGAAATCCCAATGAAAATTAAATTAAGCATCAGGATTAATGGGTTGGTTTTGTGTTAGATTAATTTTTTGAGTGAATAAAATTCTTAATATAAAAAGGGGGCAAAATAACATCATATTATGCTGCTGATGTATTTATTTCATGTCATATTGATTTAGGAATGAAATGTTCATGAATTTTAATAATATATATTTTTTATTTCCAGACAGATTGCCAAACCTCTGCATGATCAAAAGCTTCCTGGGTTCCGCTTCTGGTTTCAGGGACTGCTCATGCTGTGTCTGCTCGGGTTTGTTGTGTTCTTGGCCTTTTCGGACAGCACCGTGCCGTGGATCGAAAAGTTCTCTCTTCAGAAACAGTACCGGCGTTTTTTGAACCAGAGCAGGAAAGTGCCCGTACCTGCCTATCTGGTTCACCCAAAACACAGAGCTTTTCTAAATAAAATGAAGGAAAAGAAGACGCCGATCCCTGAAGGTGTTCAGTACAACACGGAGCCAGAACCTTTGCAGCCACAGCGCCTTCAGTACCACGAAGCTTATTCGCGCAACTACAGGTTTGTCATGGACAACGTCGAGGTTTGCAAAGTCAACTCGCCCCTCCTGGTCTTGATGGTGCCGGTGGCGCCAAGCAATGTTGTGGCTCGGGACGCGATCCGGGCAACGTGGGGCAAAGACCGAGTGGTTCAGGGCGAGACGGTACTCACTCTGTTCATGTTGGGTCTCGATAACAGACATGACGTTGAGAAGCTCCAACAGGAGAACCAGCAGCACAACGATCTGATCCAGAGTAACTTCCTGGACACGTATCTCAACCTGACCATTAAAACCATGGTGATCATGGACTGGCTGGCCACGCGCTGCCCTTCGGCCGCCTACGCCATGAAGGTGGACTCCGACATGTTCTTGAACGTTGATAACCTGGTGATTATGTTGAAGAAGCCAGGAATCCCCCATATGAACTATCTGACAGGAATGCTCATGTGGAACAGACCCGTTGTCCGGGACAAGAACTCCAAGTGGTACGTTCCCGAGGAGATGTTCCCCGACCCCCAGTATCCCACATACACCCTGGGCATGGGGTACGTCTTTTCCAACGACCTTCCCGCTAAATTTGTGGACGTCTCGAAATCCATCAAACCCTTTAACATTGAAGACGCTTATATTGGGATGTGCATTAAAAAGCTCGGACTTTCGCCAACGTCACCGCCGGACCCTTCGCAGTTTAAGGCTTATAATTCTAGGTACGATCGCTGTGAATTCTCTAAGATCATCACCTACATTCTTGGCTCTTCGGAAACATTGAAAAACTATTGGGCAGACTTCAAGAAGCCTGGACCTCACTGCTAAAGCCGTTCACACTACGGATGCAACGAGAAATCCCTCATGGTGTAACTTATTTCTAGATATTCTGCAGGTTGAAAAGGGGAATGGCAATCAAATTTGAAAAATGTTTTGCTTCAAATCTTGTGAAGCAAAGCTGTAGTATATGTTGGTTGATTCGGTGGGATGTGAAAAACTACTGGAGTTTGTTGTTCAATTTTCTTTAAAATGGTTTTATATGCTTTTCTGTGGATTTTTTATACTTTGAGAAGGGAAATTGCATAGAATGCACTGAGTGTTATTTAAACAGAGATGCTAACCGGCACTTTATCAAGTAATGGATTTTAAACACCAAAACATGTCAACATGGAAAAAGGGCAATGATCTTTTTCCATGTCCTTGCTAGTTTACATTAACTGGCACTGTGGTGCTAGTTTATGTTGGCACATAAACATAATCTAGTAAGTTCAACTACGACTTATGAGAGCAAAGATATATTATGTTGGCTGTGTCCAATGAATTAGAAACATACATCAACTGTGTTCCTGTCAGTAGATTTTAAACGGTGTACCTGGGATTTTGAAATAAAATTATAAGTTTTGTATTTGAACTGTTTTTCTTTTTAGCCACAATTTTCCACATGTTCTTTAGATTTGTTTTGAATTGTTCTGGATTTCAACTGGGTAATACTAAAACTACTGAAACAATATGAGAGTTTCCTATCCACCGTTATGGATGTTGACTGATATTGCTCATTAGAATTAGAATTATAAATCTAAATTTATTTAATTGATATCTGTTGACTTATCTGTGCAAAAATTTATTGAAAACAACAACAAAAAACATACTTGACAAAACTTTACTGTTTATTTTTTTAATAAGTAATTTAGATACACTTATTACCTAAAGAAAGACCCAGAATCTATGGAGAGGCAAGAGTGTCACTAAATGAACACTCCATTTAAGAGCTAAGACTTTGTCAAATATAAATATTTATAAATATTAAATATAGAGTAGTGGCTTAAAATTTCGTGTCTTTCAGAAAACATTCAGAACGTTTTTTTTCTAAGAGAAACTAAACAGTAACATACAAAGATGGCGCCTGTTGGCCTGGTGGCTCCTGTCACAGGCCTGGTGGCTCCTGTCACAGGTCTGAAGCCGACAGGCTCGAGGCGCATGCGCCAGCGACGGCTGAACGAAACGTCGCGCCTCTGGGCGTGAATAAATGCCCAAAGGTTCATTAATCTACGCTTCATTCATTACCCACTGACGACATCCGCTGCTGAAACGGTGACGGCACTCAAACACAATCATCCCTAAGAAAAATAAATAGATAGTTTTTGTCAAACCAATGCTTGATGGCAGTGTCTATTGAATCCTGTTTGACTGCATTATATTTTTATAGTTATTGAAATAATTTGTACCCACATTTTTTATGTTATACTTATTCAACAGTAAAGATATTTGACGTTTGATTATTATTATTATTATTATTATTATTATTATTATTATTATTATTATTATTATTATTTATTGACCTGGGAGTGTAGTGCTTATTGGGTCAGACGGTATTCTTTGACTCTGAAAAGCTCAAATTGCTGCAAGTTTGAGCCTAGTGGTGGTTTTGCAGCTGGCCCCACCAGCGCTTTTCTTTTGAACAGTTTCCTTTCTCAGTCGAGGCTTTCAGGGTGTTTTCAGAGCGGGCGGTTTGTCAACCGTAACAGACCAACTCCCCCCCCCCCCTCCCCCCCCTCCCCCCCCCCCCCCCCCCCCCCCCTCCCTCCCCCCCTCCGCCCCCCCCCCCCAAAAAAAAAAAAAAAACAAAAACAAAAACAAACAAAAAAAAAACCTTATCGAGCTTTTCTGTGACATCAGGAACCGCCGCAGCGAGCTGACTCCCCGGCGGGCTGAACCCCCCTCTGGCTGCTGCGCCACCGGCCAGGATCCCGGTCGGTAACCGCCTTCCGGTGTGCTCTCCGCCGACGCCGGTGTCGTTTCGTTCATGTTTTCCGCTCAGAATGGATCGCGGCAGCGTCTGGAAATGTTCTGCGGTGACGTGCGGAAGCTCAACCATTTGCAGAAGTAAGATAATGTTTGCACGTGTTTATTTCTGTCTATTGCAGGTGGTTCGTGACACTGAACTTTTGAGTTTCTATTATATTTTAGGGGAGATGAGTGGAGGGGGAAAAAATCACCCATCATCAAGAATAATGCCTAGTAAATAGAGTTCGATACGCTGAAAAATATGTTGTTGTGTTTTGTTTTTTTCTACATTTCCAAAGGTGTAAGAGCCAAAAACGTCACTTTGTGACATTGTTCTGTCTATTGCAGGTGGTTCGTGACACTGAACTTTTGAGTTTCTATTATATTTTAGGGGAGATGAGTGGAGGGGGAAAAAAATCACCCATCATCAAGAATAATGCCTAGTAAATAGAGTTCGATACGCTGAAAAATATGTTGTTGTTATGCTTTTTACATATTTAGATATTTTCTTATTAGTACGTTTCCATTTTAGTATGTTTTGGTAGAAAAGCGCCACCTAATGGACGTAAGTGAAAATACGTAAAATAAGTGCTTTTTGTTTTTTAGAGAGCAGAAAGAAATGGGAATGTGTTATGTTGTGTTTCACTAGTTCTACACAGTTTTTTGACCGTTAAAATGCAGAATGCTGTGCAATATTAAGGAATCCTACTTTGTACCATCCTCTCAAAGAAAAGTAAAGTTCGTCGTTCGTCAGACTTTGTGTGGATTCTTGTAAGTGATTCTTTAATTCACGAAGAGATGCACAAGAGCATACTGTGGAACAGAAACGCGTCAAGCTAAGAGCTAAGCTAATGAACCGCAACAAAGAAAAGATAACTGAAGCTAGTTGAACAATATAGTGGCTTTACAATGATCGAACTAGCAGCCACTACAAAAGGACAAACGTTGGTTTTCAGATAAAGCTCGGCTGTTATGGTCGCTGCTCCAGAGTAAACAACAGGAAGCATGGCAGATGAACTGATGTGGCAGTTAACAGATGAGCCTTACTTTACCAGAGGAAAGTATTTGCTAAAGGAGGGGGAGATTCCTTTTGCCCTAAGAAAAACATTTAGATATTAGAGAAGTTCAGAGGTAGATCTCGGTCGAGCAATTTTGAACTCTCAAAAAATGTTTGACCTTTGTTTTCTTTGCTTGTTTTTACATATGAATATGATCAAAAACACTTATTTGCTTTAGTTTACAGAAGAAAAGTCAGTTTGCTAAAAATGAACAGCAACGTTCACAGAAAGGGCTGTGAAAGTTGAGGGATGCAAAAAAAAAGAAGAAAAGAAAGGAAAAGAAGACAAGACAAAAACACTTGTTTGCAGCATTCCTCTGGAGGACAGGGTAAACAGGTGATTGGGTATAGGGGGGTGTTTGTCCATTTGAACATTAAATATCTTGAGTTTGTAGTGAATTCTGTTTAATATAGGATGAAAAGTATTTGCAAATAACCCCATTCTGTGTGTAGTTATAGTTTACTCAACTTCATTGGAGTTGGGTTATCATAAGGCCTTTAAGGAGCCCAGGAGTTTAGACCCATGATGATGAACTGTATTGAAACCGGGACCATGCACAACTCAAACAGACATCACAGTTTGATGTGCTCTACTAGCAAAAGCTCATTTGCATCTGCTGGCAGCTCATGGATTATGGCAAGAAGGGATTCCAACTGTGAGAGGAATCCATTAGAGCTCATCACCAAATATGCTAACCAGTTTCAATTCTTTTCTCGACAGAAAACCTTTATGTCATGAGAAGAAGTCGTCATATCGCCTTTGGTTTCAGCTCCTGGTTCTTTTATGCCTGCTGATCCTCTGTCTCTTCCACTCTGTGTGCAACAACACACAGTCACGTGGGGAAGGTTTTTCTCTCCAAAATAAATGCAGTCGACTTTTTGTTCAAACTCCTGGGGGAAATGCACCGCCTTATCGAGTCCACCCGAAACACAGACTTATTATGCTCAATGATATGAATGACAACACAGAGCCAGACACTGTGCAGCAACAGCGCCTTCAGTACCACGAAGCTTATCCGCACAACTACAGGTTTGTCATGGACAATGTCGAGGTTTGCAAAGTCAGCTCGCCCCTCCTGGTCCTGATGGTGCCGGTGGCGCCGAAAGACGTTTTGGCTCGGGACGCGATCCGGGCAACGTGGGGCAAAGACCGAGTGGTTCAGGGCGAGATGGTACTCACTCTGTTCATGTTGGGTCTCGATAACAGACATGACGTTGAGAAGCTCCAACAGGAGAACCAGCAGCACAACGATCTGATCCAGAGTAACTTCCTGGACACGTATCTCAACCTGACCATTAAAACCATGGTGATCATGGACTGGCTGGCCACGCGCTGCCCTTCGGCCGCCTACGCCATGAAGGTGGACTCCGACATGTTCTTGAACGTTGATAACCTGGTGATTATGTTGAAGAAGCCAGGAATCCCGCAAAAGAACTATCTGACAGGAATGCTTCAGGGAAATGTGCCCGTTATCCGGGACAAGAACTCCAAGTGGTACGTTCCCGAGGAGATGTTCCCCGACCCCCAGTATCCCACATACACCCTGGGCATGGGGTACGTCTTTTCCAACGACCTTCCCGCTAAATTTGTGGACGTCTCGAAATCTATCAAACCCTTTAACATTGAAGATGCTTATATTGGGATGTGCATTAAAAAGCTCGGACTTTCGCCGACATTTCCACCGGACCCTTCGCAGTTTAAGGCTTATAATTCTAGGTACGATCGCTGTGAATTCTCTAAGATCATCACCTACATTCTTGGCTCTTCGGAAACATTGAAGAAGTATTGGGCAGACTTCAAGAAGCCTGGACCTCACTGTTAGGAATCTGGCTGTTCAAAATACACATAAAACAAACTTTGATAGTGACAAACTCTGAAAGACCAATAATGCAATAATTGCAGAGAAGGTTAGTTCAGCAAACCAATAACTGAGGCCGACTGAATGCAAAAGCACAAAAACCAACAATGCATTCAAAGGAACTGATTAAAAACTATAATTGACCAAGAGCGAGTTTGTAAACAAAGACCGGAATAGAATTATTCAAAATATAATTTTCTATCCACTCTTGTTTTGATATTATTATTTTTTTCTTCTTAAATGTCAAACATTTTGCTTGTAGACAATATATTTTACACATGTTTCCATTGTTTGGGATACATCTAAAAGGAAATGGATATGATTGCAATGTTACTGATTTTGTTAAATTTACTATTGCTTTTAGAATTTAGTTGTTCACAAAAAAAAGAAAAAATTGTCATCCAATAAATTGTTTCAATGAATGAGGCCAAATGAAATTAGGTCTTGCTTGCACTTCACCAAAAAATCGCAAAGGAAAAATGCAGCAGACGACATGTGGAGCTTTGAATCGTCATCGTAATTAACAGCTTTCTCTGGAAGTCTTTGTTACTTCCTCTGTAAGAAAGTAAGGAAATCCTGTTCACATCATCCTGAAGTCATAATCTGCCAAGTGGGTTGTAACGTTGTGCAACAGCACGGTTTAAAAAAAAAGGTCTTGTGTGATAATTAAATATAAAGTTGATTATCACAAATGCTTTTTCTGTCCAGCTGTGTCATTCTACCGCACTCTTTATCTATCACAAGTTTAAAAACTGACTCAGATATAAGTTCATGTTGGGTCTCGATAACAGACATGACGTTGAGAGAGGACCTTTGATGGTTAGCAGAACTGGAAATTCATTGTTTTTGGTCAGATATTTATCAGCTCCTGGACTTTTTTTCTTTAGATCTTGACCAGAAGTGGAATGTGTGAGCAGATTTGCCAGCGAGATCTGAGCAGGAAGACTGATTGGGCACAGGCTTCCTCAGGAAGGGAGCAATTCTGACAAAGCATTAAAAAAAAGTATTGTGTTCATGATCTTTAAAACAAATACAATCAAGGATTTCATCAGAGTACAATACGACACAATGTGCGAAAAATGTCACTTTCACCATCACATTTATTCAAGAAATGACCGATGATCCTTTATGGTCCATAACAAAATATCAGTAAGTCTGCATTTAAACTGATTAACATTTGAGTTCCTATTAGTACTATTAAAGTTTATATAAACATGCCTGTTTTCGACTTTAACTCTTAAACAATATAAAAAATATTGTTTAATGGTGTTCATTTGTTTATCATTTGAAAACTCCTTATTACATTGGATAAAAGACAAATCAAAACAAAGATGCAAAAACATCAAGTTTAGGCTGTCACCTAGTGGCCTAAGAAGGTTACTGCAAGAGTGGGATTTGAAATCGAAATTGATAGTCCTATCAGAGGAGTCGTATATACAGTCTACAATGGTGTGAAAAAGTGTTTACCTCCCTCCAGAGTTCCTATTTCTCTTACATGTTCGTTGTTTCAGAACAGTACAGCCAATCTAGATCTTATTAGTCGAAGGCGACTAATATTTTTTTTGTATTATTTTATTTTTTCGTCAAAGTGGCGGAAAGAGGCTTCCATAGTTTTACGTCGAAGCTTCAACCGAATCGTATTTGCCGTGAAAGCTGTTTGGTTCTGCTCTGCTGTTAGCCGGAGCGGGGCGGGGCCGCGCCGGGGCGGGACGGGGATTGCCCGCTGACGGTGTCAACTCTCAGGTAAGTGACACGGACGCTTTACTATTCTACCGTGTCATGTTAGAGTCACGTGTTCTTTAATGTGACTTCCCGTCTGCTGGGTGAGTTTCTGTTCCGCAGAGAAGACGTCGACGAGAGGAAGAGTGTTTGAAACACAAAGGTGGGCCGCGGAAAGTTACAGACGGGTTGTTTAACGATATAACTCGGTTCGCTTCTGGTTATCGGACTGCAGGATAAAACACCGGAACCGTGTTCAGTTTTACACACGTTTGAGGTGTAAGGTGGTGTTCTTAGAGAAAACCACTTGTTAGGAGCAGAATACATCACCTACTTCCTTCTTCGGTAAGTGACGTTTTCCTATGTTGCTGCATTGAACCTAAAAGCTGTGCGACGTGTGTTTAATGTCGGGCAGTGCAGGACCAAAAAAAAACAATCCACACGTATGTTTTATTTTAACTATAGCTATTACAAAGGTGAAGTTTGTCAAAGTTCCTTTTTTATTCTACAGCTTCTCAAGCAGGCCGTTTATGCTAGAAGCTCTAAAGTGTTTCTAGAGTAAAACAACTCTGCAAAGAATTCTGGGTAAAAACTTCCTCAGGTTATCTCCTGATCTTAACATGACTTTGGTCTAAATCATGTACCGAAAATGGGAGGGGGGCATTAGTGACATGAGAACAGAAAAGACTCTGATGGTGTTTCTTCTTGTTTCTTCCGCTGTCGTGGCACCAGTGGTTTTGTTTTCTTTTTACACCACACAGACATTAACTACCAATCTGTCACTATGACAAGACACTGTGTGTCCTTGCTGTGGGTGCACAGTGGGAACTGTTTAAAGATAAGCTTAAAAAAGTGATACATTATTGAAGCAAGTTATTTACATCAGTTGAAGCAAACCCAATTTTTCTGGAAAAACCGGATTCTCTCGGTTAAGTTGTGCTGCAACTTTGTCTGCTTCCAGGTGAGTCATCAAACGCGATAAATAATAGAAAGTTGACATACGTATGACTGTCAGGACTGTTTACTTCCAGTTTTCTAACTATAGATGTAGAAATATGCTCAATACATATATTTAATGCCTAAAATGATTCTTTGTATTTAGTCTTTTTTTTTTAACAAGACCCTAAATTTGGTTCTTTTATTTGACATTCTTGTCTTTATTTTCAGCTGATTTTTCACATGGTTTGGGTTGTGGACGTTGACTGAGAGCTGCATTAACAGGTATGTGCAACTTATTTGCCCCGCATAAAAATATTTTGACATTATCTATGCTCATCATTTGAGTGCTTAAAGATCCATTAAATATTTAACATCTTTCCTGTTGTAATTTGACACTTGTCAATAAAACAGATTTGATTTGACTGATTAAAATAATATTTAAGCCCACAAATGTTGGAGTTTGAAGTTCTATTTATGTGGACGAATTTAACAAGTATACCTAATAAAGTGGCCATATTTTGTTCAACTTTTGCATCTATGAAGAAAGACTTTTATTTTAGGCTTACATTAAGCACTATCAAACGTAATATTAATAAATCACATGGTAATGTTTATACCTCTATGTTCAAAAATTAGTTTGTAGAAATCCGTTTTTGATGATTTACTCAGGAAAAGCTTCAGGAGTTAAAATTAATAGATATCGATAAAATGTATTTTCTCTTGTTTGGCTTATGTTGCTCCTCTAATCTTAAGTTAATTCAAATTCGGGCCATATTTTAATCTTTCCACTGATGGTCTTGTCGGCTGTGGATGTGCTGGGTTAGTGTTTTGGTTGCCAGGCAACATAAATCACTTCCAACTGAAAATGCTTCACAGTAAGTCAACTTAACATCTGATTAGTTTACCTTTCACTTTGACCAGCCTGAATTTAAAGATATTACTCATTGGTTACACAATTAAAAAGTATTTTCATTTAAAGATGCTAAAATATTGACAATTCTTGGAAATATTGAGCCAAACTGTTTTGTTCATTCAAAGTATTTTCAAAGAATGAAATATTGATATAGTATGAAGTTAGACCTTTAATACGGTGGTCCCCAAACCCCGGACCGGTCCGTGGACCAATTGATACTTGGCCGCGCAAGAAATAATTAAATATTTCCGTTTTATGTATCATTCGAGTCTGGAGGATCTTTTATTTTGAAAATCCTTTAACCGGATTCTCTCTGTTACGTCTTGCCGCCAACATTGAGCCACGAGTCAGAAACAGATCAGATTCTTTGGAAAGTTTCTTTTCTCCGGTAGATGATTCCTACAGTGCAAGCTGCTCTGCATGACACGGTGACCGACTCGTTAATGAGGCGATGAAGCTTCAAACTGCTTCGCCACATAGAGACCAAACAGGCTGTGCATAAGCAGCACTTGTGGCGTCATTGTCTCTCATCACTTCCAGATGGGAGAAACAAGCTCAGGCTCCATTAGTCGTTATCCTCAGTTAAAATTGTCACGAAAGTAAAATGTTTGTTTTTGTGGCGCATCTGTCTGTATCTTATTTTGAAGGGATGTGTAAAAGTTTCCATAGCAAGCAGTCAGAGAGCGTTAGCACAGAGCTTGTGAGTTTTAGGTCTGGTTCACACGGCGCGATTTAAGGGTTGTCGGCCAATTTTCCAAACCTCTGACTAAACACAAACCGAGCCGATAAAAGTTCAACAGGTTCAGTCGGAGCAACACAGCACAAGAACCGATTCCAGTCACGAACATCCCGATTCCAGAAGAAAATCCAGTAAAACCCCAACATCCCAAACGTAAATTTAGAATAATCAAACACGATGACGATGTAGAAGCAGTAGTGACAGTTTGTGGATCATTTTAAGCGATAAAAGAGGAAACAAAAGAACTATAATTTGGAAATGAGTTAAGTTTTTTTGTAGTGAACATTTTTAACTGAATAAACATAACCACATATAATAAGCATGTATAAAAATGATGCACAGTAATAAACATTTCCACATATCACCGCCAATGCCAACCGGACTCTCAGTTGCCATGTCAACTTTTTGAGATTCCCTCCATCCTGACGTCACCGCGCTTTCTGATTGGCTACCTGTTACATTCAACAGGTTGTGTTTGGGCATATTCAACACACCACACACTGCAGACGGCAGAACGTTGTAAGATTGTTGTAAAGGGAAAATCTAAAAAAAAAAAAAAAAAAAAGATTATCTGATGACCCCCCCCTAAAAAAAAACCTCTGGTCTGCAGCAAAGTTGCCAAGTCTTGTCCGGTCCGCAGTAATAAAAAATTTTTTGGACCACTGCTTTAACACGTGCTTTGCTCTGAAAGTTTTGCAATAACATAACTTTTATTTTTAAATGCATACAGTTCCAATGGACAGCAGGAGTCACCTGAAGAACATCTTCATCTGTGTTTTGGTAGCACTGACAGTGGTCATCATTTACCTTGTCAATGAAAACACGCCTGATGGCATGTATGGACCAGCATACAAAAAGTCCAACACCACGGCCTCTTCGCCGCCTGAGCCAAAGTGGGAGGACCCAGGCCCGTACCATGTGGCCTACCCACGGAACTACAGATTCATCATGGATAACTCTCCAACGTGCAAGACCACCACTCCGTTCCTCATCTTGATGGTTCCCATTGCTCCCACCAATTTGGAAGGTCGGGACACCATCCGAAGGACATGGGGGGGTAAGAAAATGGTCCTCGGTCAGCTGGTCGAGACCGTTTTCATAGTGGGGCTACCTGGAGGGGTTGACGTCAACCAGCAGGCGAGACTGAAACAGGAGAGCGAGCAGTATCGTGATCTCATCCAGAGTAACTTCCAGGACAGCTATCGCAACTTGACCATCAAGACGATGGTCATGCTGGAGTGGCTGGCTCAGCACTGCTCCAAGGCCAGCTTTGTGATAAAAATTGACTCGGACATGTTACTGCATGTAGATAATTTGGTTGCATTGTTACTCGACCCGAAGACGCCGAAGGAAAACTACATGTTGGGTTTAATATGGTGGCACAGCCCAGTTTTAAGAAACCCTTTCAACAAGTTCTACATGCCACGCCACGTGATCGCCGAGCCAGAGTACCCCCCCTACCCTCTGGGCATGGCTTACGTCATGTCTCTGGATCTACCCAAGAAGATCCTGAGCATCTCGCCTCAAATCAAACCCATCTACATTGAAGACGCATACCTGGGCATGTGCCTGAAACGTCTGGGTGTGTTTCCTACCGACCCTCCTGATCAGAGGATGTTTCAGGTCGTCCCCCAGCATCCTATGAGTAGGTGCGACCTCTCAAAAGTGGTCGCCATGACTACGACGAGCATGTCACAAATGCAAATCTACTGGCAGAAGATCGTGCAGGGAGTTCACTGTTAGGCCTGATTTTAATATTGATTACTTTTGGACGGTTTGGCAAGGTTTTTGGTTAATTTTGGTTCACAGAAGGAAGCTTCCCATGGGATAACTATTATGTGGAAGGTCACAAGCAGACAAATGGTATGTTTACCACTGCAATAATTTTACTCTTCAGCCTTTTGTTTTTGACGGTGTATGTTACAAGTCAACAGGGATTTCTGGCTCAGGGCCCAAAAGGTTTACAGTGCAAACCAAAGTAGCCTCTTGTCTTATCCAAAAGCCAATGAAAATATGGCCAATCTAATAATGTTAGATTGGCCATTTCCCATTTCTGCCCAAATCACAGAGATATCGAGTCGCATTGGATTAGTTATTGTCACAGGACCTCAAAGTTCAGTAGATAATTTGAGGGAGAACTTTCACTTTACAAAGTACTGACATGGTCACTGGATTAACAATGCAGACAATCCATGTAATTATTACAAATGCCCTTGGTCCATAAGTAAAACTAATCCCATATGAACAGGTCTTAATGTTGATTTAAATTATTTTAGTCGGCTTTGAAGTAAGTTTTAACTTATGTATAGAGAGCAGTCATTCTGTGCATACAAATATTTTTACATTCAGTTTGTATTTTGCTGCTATCTGTGTAGAGTTTTGAACTTTCTTCCCTTTGTATGCATATATTTTTTTCAATGTATTCCAGGTTACTAAAACTATGCATGTTAAGCTGCAGTAATAGATTATGCGGGCCCAAATGTAAAGAAATTAAGCACATTTAGGATGAACATCAAATTTGGCTTGTGTTGTAGAAGACACACTCCCATTTTGTTATAGAGTCTGAAAGATGGTAAAAAGTTTGTTGCTGTTTTGCAGTGAGTTATCCAGCTGACATCGCTAAGTAGCTAGCTAACAGGTCGTCCCTCTGATTGTTTTGGCTAACTTTAGCAGCTTAAAGCAACTCAAATCCATGATATACAACAAAATATTATCTGGTATTAGATGTCATTCACAAGAGACTATTTGCAGCTGCTTTTATATCTCTCCATTAATCCAGCTAATCGGCTGTGAGTCGCACTGCAGAGTTCTTGAAGAAACTTTCTATGATCTTATGAAATTGCACCTACTCTGAGGTTACTCTGATAATCTTTAAGGGAAATGAAGGCAGTTATGAGGAACATTGGATAGAATTGGAGGAAAAGAACTTGGACTTCAAGGTAGAGAAAATGCATGTTGGAAGGTTAGAGTAAAAGTATTTTGTTAAATTTAAAATGAATAAACCTCTCTGTGATCTTTTCCTGTAAAAGATCAAAAAACAACCCCCCAAAAAACAACCATAAGGTTTTACAGGATAAACTAAATTAAGAATGTTATCACAGCAGTTGTCTGTCACCACACCAGAAGGGGGCAGGCTAGCACTGCATAAAAGCCTTAACCCTGACCTGCACTGACTTAAACTCTCAGGACTGCTTCACAAACAGCCGATCCATCTTTTAACACCTTTCAGCCACTTGTCTTGGAAGAATAATCATATTGACACACAAGTGGTTGCTTCAGCTGAGGAAACATGTCAAACTTTTTCTGTTACTGTCATGGCAGATTCTCAACGCTGAGACCAGCTAACCATGCTTGGGCAAAATTCAATAAGCAATGCAAGATAAGGGGCACAGGCCTGGGCTGGCACGGTCATGTTTTCCCCCCCCTTGAAATCTCTTAGAAATAGTAATAATAATAATACTGTGACCTGGTCAAGAGGTGAAACTAAATCCAAGCATAAAAAAACAAACAAGCAAAAAAAAAAAACAGTTCATATTGGACTTTTTAAAATCTCATTTATGACTTGCACTAATAATTGGATGTTGATGAAATGCTGTACTTTAAGAAACATTTCCAAACAATGACAAATGATTTGATTTGTAGCTTCTGTATATTCTGCCAATGGCTAATTTTTTAAAAATATTATATGGCTCCGTTATCAGCCATATAATGACTGACCTTTTTATTTTTACATGCAAAGCTGCGTCTTCTGTCCACTAGACTGTTGTTTTATGTGTGTCTGCTGAGTCTTCACCCCGGTTTATTTGTTGATTCACTATTTTCGGTAGTTTTAGACATAAACACACAAAGAAGACGATACAGAGGGTGCTACCATGTGTGCTATTGTTTCTGTGGTATGGGTACTAATGTGTTTCTTTGATATACTAATGAAAGTCATGTAAAGTTTTTTTTCTTTGATAACTAGATTGTGCAATATAACAGTAGGGGAGGTAATAACGGTAACACTGGCGAGTTTATTAAATAATTTCTTTTTGCTCCGTTGAGGTTGGATTTCCTACATAATTCAGTGTCACATTAATGCCACTGCACTTTTACACGTATTTTTACACACAGTCGTTCACCTCTTTATGAGTTTCCTGATCATGGAAGGACTAAGGGTTGCAGTCGTGTAAGAGCATTTAAAAACCCATCTGTGCACAGGAAAGTTTTGCTCAAACCAGGTGTTTTGGTTGTGTCCTCCCCCCACCCCAACCTCTTTCTGGCAGACTGGCTGCCCTCTCCATCGCCGTCTGCAAACAGACTGCACCATGGGGTCGTAAACTTCAGGTGGCTCTGTTTGGGCTACGGGCAAAATCTTTCACACACTATTGTTTTCCTTTTTGTTTTGTTTTTTCAACATATAAATGTATACTTATAAAGCTCATTTCACAGGCTCCAAGTTTAAATGAAAAAACTTTGTTGCACTTAGATTCTGACAGGGTGACGCTTTCAGAAAGCTGGTACTGAAACGTTTAAAACAAAATGGGAAAATTGGTCATCGATTAATATTTAAAATGCTCAAAAATGTTAAATTGTATGTGTGCTGTTAAGTGGCGTTATTAAAACCACAGAGCAATAGTCCAGTGACTTTAAACCTGCAGTAATTGATAACCACGTGCTGTCTCAATTTTAAGTTATGCTAACAGTGCCACCTGGTGGTCAAACAAGATATTGTTTTCAATTAAGTATTTTAACCTTCTTGTCCCTTCAAGAGATGACTTTACTCTGCGCACCATACGGTGGATTCACTCTGACACATGTGCTTTTGAGTTTTGCGTTTCTGCGTGGTTTCGGGAATTGATGGTCTGACAGGGCAGCCCACCTGTTTCCTTCTGAGCCTCTCCTGAGAGTCGGGCTAAGACTGCGGGAGGTTTAAATAAAGTTTGTAGGCAGCCTCACTCCCTTTTGCAATTACAAGTAATGTAATTAAATTGATTATGGAGAATCTGGGTTTCGCTACAAGGATGAAAAGTCTAATGACGATCAGAAAGAAAAAGGAGAGAAAAGAGACGGTAGATGGGAGAACTTTGTGGATCAGAGGCACAACAAGCAGCTCTCAGACTCAACCAACGTTCAGGCTGATGGGATGTAAAACATTATGAACATCGGTTTTCAAATCTTGCATCAGATTTTCGTCAGGATTTGGGTCTGAACTTTGACTGGACCTTGACCACATTAATATGGTTTGCACCAGATTAACAAGCAAATCTAAAACTAACTTGCAAAGTTTGGGAAATTTTATACAAATACAAAAGACGGCATCTGTTTAAAGCCTGGTGATACATTCATTTCTCCTTTTTTGCATCTGCTTCAGCCATTTGCTCCATCATTCTTCCAGTCCGTTGTTCCTGCACCAGTCGTCAGAGCTAAAGAGGTATTCCAAGCCTGTCCTTTTCCAGAACAGCAATAGGAGTTTAGTGTTTACAGTGAGGTCATGTGGCACTTGGCTAATGCTCTGTTGTTCAAACCTTTTGATTGGCCTTTACCAATCAATTGATCGACAACAGACAACTGTCTGCCTCTGGATCCAAACAAAAAGAAATCGGCCTTGAAACTGGGTCTCTGTCCCTTTAAGAAACTCTTGCTCTTCAGGAAGTCATCCCAATATGACTCCTCTATTAACCCTCTAACAACATTTTACCAGTGTTTCCCTGAGCAGCAGCTCTTATAATGGTTTCACCAGATGTGCAGTTTCGCCAGGTGTTTGCTAACTGTTGCTGGCTAGTCTGAAGGAGCTGAGTGGGGGTGTTGCAGGGGAGGGATTTCTCTGCGAGGCTCTGTGAGATGGAGGCTCAAAATCTGCGAAACTGAAGCTCTTAGGAGGGGCTTCGTCCTCAAAGGCGGGACTTTTTTTTTTGTTGTTGTTGTTACTGTTTATCATGTTCATTTGTTAACATATATTTTTTTACACCTACAAACTTTGGGCAATTTCTCTCCTCGGACTGGACAAAATAATTCAAAGAAAAAAACAAAAGAGTTTGACATATCACACTTCAAAGAGAAGATATTAGTATCTGTATCGGGGATACTCTTCCAGCATTATCGGATCAATACCAAAGTTTTAATTATCGTGTTAACACGGGTGATTTTTGCAAATCCTTCTGTGGTTTGTTGGAAATGAAAGAACAAATAGCTTTTTTTTTTCTTTTAACTATATATGTTTATATGTATTTTTTAAATAAGTATGGGCAATATCTTTAGCCTGAAACTTGCTTGTCGTACTTCTGCCCAGAAATATGATGTCATTTTATTGTATTAAATGACATCCAGGATTCCATTTATTTTCTTGAAGCCTACCTCTTGAAGTGTGAAATCCCGTAACAGAGTAGAATTTATATTCCTTTGAATACAGACAGAAATCAAGCTTGCAAAGAACAGAACTCTAAAAGAATGAGCACTTTGATAAAATTAGCAAAGTTCAGAACTTCTCTTGCTCTAAGCAGCAACATAATGTGTTTGTGAAGAAACACTTTATGTTTCTTCACAAGGGCCAGAAATTCATTATTTTTGTTAAGGACGGGTTTCTACACGATCACATGTAAGATATGACAATAATAAAATGGTACCAGGGTTATTAGACTGCTCTTTCAAAACTTCCACGAAATCTAATAAAATCAGAGATGAGGAAACAGGATTTAAGGGGGAAAAAAACCTCAGCATGCTGTTTTCGCCTCCCTTTATTTCTCCTGGCTCAGGCCCAAACACTAAATTTGACCGCCTCCCTCGGGGAGAGTAACTCCAGGCCTGAATTCCTTTGCGTTATTTCATGTTTACTTTCTGCTGCAACATTTTTTCTCCCTTCTGTGCACCAGCTTGCATTAGAGGAACTCCTCCAACGTCAAAAATGTCATCAAAATCCGCATCCAGGCATCTGCGGGGCCTTATACATAAAAACATCCCGAGTTTCATGAACGTGTGAAAAGCACCGTGAAAAATGCAGAGCTAAACGCTGAGCTGTTTTTTTTTTTTCTTGAAAGACAGACGGTTTGAGATGTAGAAGAAGTCATTTCCGTTCTGTTGGGGAAGCCTGCGAAGGGTCACGTCTTCCACAACTCTGCCTGTGTGAATCACATAAACAATCCGAGCAGCCCCCCTCCACACAATTTCGTCTTCACAGGCCTGTCCAACAAATCAATCAAACAGCTGCAGCTGATCCAGAACGCTGCTGCTCGCGTTCTCACTAAAACCAGGAAGATAGAGCTGATAACACCAGTTTTAAAGTCCCTTCACTGGCTCCCTGTAGCTCAAAGAATAGACTTTAAAATACTGTTGTTAGTTTATAAATCACTGAACGGTTTAGCACATTAAAGATCTGCTGTTGTTGTATCAACCTTCCAGACCTCTCAGGTCTTCTGGTTCTGGTCTGCTCTGCATCCCCAGAACCAGAACCTAGAGAGGAGAAGCAGCTTTCAGCATCTGTGCACCAAAAATTTGGAACAAACTTCCAGACAACTGTAAAACAGCAGAAACCCTGACTTCCTTTAAATCTCAACTAAAAACACACCTGTTTAGAATTGTATTTGAAACATAATCAATTAAAAATCTAATGATGGAACAATGTATTGTCTATTACATGCTGCATGACTTTGTGTTTTTGTGTTTATGATGTAAAGCACTTTGAAATGCCTTGCTGCTGAAATGTGCTATACAAATAAAATTTGATTGATTTGATTGATTCGTTCATCTCTCTGGGTTTAGTAGTTTTTTTGTTTTTCTCACATTTAAATCACATGCTGTGTGTTTCGGGTTCTTTAAAAAGGCTCGTACGTTTTTGTTAATATGGCATTTCTAAAAAAACTTTGTTTTTTTTTTTTTTTTTTTGTCTTTTTATTGATTCCTTTCATCTAAAAATCACTTTGATTTCAGGCACGTCGTCGTTTCGTGTCGATTTCTTCCCATGAGAAAATCCCACGTTAGAGTTTCATTGCAAACAGCAGGCCAAACATACCTGTTGGATAGCTGTGTTTGCTTTCTCGCAGTCTCATCAGAATCTGTTCCTCTTTCTCACACTGACGCATCCCCTCGACAGCAGCCAGGCTGCTCTGATCCCACCGGTCAGCCTGACCTGCAAGACAAAACCGAGGGCAGCTGAGTTCGACAGCGAGCGGCAGGTCAAAGATCTCAAAGCGCCGAGGTTTGACACGATCAAAATTCAGTTCTTAATTGTTAATTCAAGGACGCAAGAAAGATGTGTTTTGGTCTTCAAAAGTTTGGATATATTTTAAAGAAGCTAAACTACAGAGTAGTGAATAAGTGAAAAAAAAATATAAATAAAGCGAATGAAATCTTGGCAAACAAAACATCTCAGTGTGTTAAACACTTTTAATTTTAACTAGAACTGAATCTTTACACTGCAAAAACACAAAATCTTTTGTAGTGATTTTGGTCTAATTTCTAGTGCATATATCTCAGTACACTTGAAATGAGATGAAACTCATTTATAAGTAACTTTTCTGCAAGAAATAGGAGCTGGTTTCACGTAAATAATTTCTTAATACTGGTTAAAAAGTTCTAGATCTCAGTGCGACTTATAGTTTTTATGAATGTTAAGGAAATATTGACTTGAAACAAGCTTTTGTATCTTGCTGAAAAGTTACTTGTAAGTAGGTTTTGTCTTATTAAGACACTTGTTCTAGAAACTAATGACTTTGTGAGATTTTGTGTTTTTGTAGTGTAAAGCTAAAACCATAAAATCACTCAGTGTGCAGATTTCTCAGTTTGAAAAGAGCTAGAGTGTGTGTGTGTGCATGGCAGAGAGACCTTGTCTTGGAACGACCCAAGGCCTTAGAATCTCATTGTCTGGAGATAAGATTCATTCAGCTTCACACTAGCATAACAAAGACGATGTTATGTGCATGACCTGAAGGGAAATTAAAAACTGTGGAATGTCGCACTTTGAAGGTTGCATGCTTTACATTCTCGTGAACACTTGGGTTGCCCACTGTGTTACAGTTTCCAATTTAAAGATGGCTAGCCAATGAGGTTTCTTTGTTTTTGTTTTAAAGGGACACCGTTATGTAACATTTACTTTTTTGAGTATATAAAAAGTCAATTGTTGTATACTCAAAAACAAGCCTGAAGTGTTGCTTTCTTGCATGTTTGAGAAATTATTTACTCTCCCATGGCAACCATTCAGCCACGCAAAACGCCTGGGTGGACCTAACTCCGCCTTAAAGGACAAAACTCCTCCTTCGAGCTCACAGGGCAGCCCTCCCACAAAACTCCCCAACTCAGCTCCTTCAGACTAGCCAGAAGCAATTAGCCACTACCTAGTGGAACTGCCGCTCTAACTGAGCCCGTTATACAAGCTACTTCTAAGTACAATACTGGTGAAAATGTTCCTAAAGGGTTAATAGAGGAGCCATGTTGGAATGACTTCCAGAAGGCGGAGCTTCAGAAACAGCAGGAGCTTCTTAAAGCGACGCAGATTCAATTTCAAGTAGTTGAATTGTGAAGACAAATGTCCTTTTTAATATATGTAGCATTCAATTACAACTGAAGGTAACATAGTTACTTGATTGCCCTATAAAATGGCAATATGTACCTGGAAAATACACAATGCCGCCCCGTTAAGTGATACACAACTGAAGCGTGATGTCATCTACTTCTTGTCTAATTTGTGTCTGTTAGTTGGTTCTCGTGTGCGTCAGCGGCTGTGCGCCAACAGATCCAAACATATATACACACCATGTGTTCTGGTGATCATGTGTGCGTATACGCTTTGATATGCTGATGAAACCCTTTCGCCAGGCCGAGCGCTGGGGAAAAGCTATGCCGGTCTCAGATTTCAGTGCTACACGCACACACACACACACACACACACACCCACACGGACACAAATTTAGTGTCTGCCTTTTCAGCACGTGTCAACCTTAGTTGACAGAAGGAAATGTTTGGTTAGCAGCGCACCTGCAGCAACTTTCCCAAGACTGTGTATAAATAAACCTGCTTGAAATGGAAAAGCAAACTTGCACAGACTGTACTGAAAATAAAATGAAATGTGACCAGTGGGCAGAGGGAGGAGGAACAGTTGACACAACATGTTTGAAAGAGAAAGACAGGTGAACGACAAGTGGGTTTTATCACTAAATAATATGTTTTCATTTACATGGACACAGAGGGGATCTGAGAGATGCCAGCAGCGACTTAGCAAATTATTATTATGCTGATGACATCCTAGTATCTCAAGTTTGGAAATTTTGGAATAAACTCTCAGTTTGAGCTCAGTTAGATTTAATGAGAACATTTGTGAACGTCAATTTTAAACTCTTATCACAGATTCTTGAGTCAGTTATATTTAGGACTCAATCATGCTCATGTACACCCTGCCCAATGTGCTCACAGTGGAGAAACAACTTACTGTTACAGGAAGTTATGGGCCGTCATCTGTTGCTGTGCTAACTAGCCTTAACATTCATGGCAGGCTTCGTTGTGGGGAACCAGCTGCAACAGAAAGAAAGGTGAAGGTCAGAGCACACATACACAACTTAATACACAGCGCTAAGACCCGCCTCCCGGCTCTGATTGGTTGTTTCTCACCAACTGTGTAGAAAGAAGAGGAGCTCGAACTTTTAACAGATTATTTGTCTCATATTGTCGCGACATGGTGACAGTTTAACACATATGTAAAATGATGCTGTTTATAAAAGTCACACTGCAGCTTTGGTGTGTTTTTAATTAAAATTCCTTCACACATCTCCACTCATAAAATCATAATAAAGTCAGTTGAAATGACAAAATGTCAAAAGATACCAGGCAAACGAAAGTTTTTTTTTTAATGTATTCATTTTTGTGATGCTCCTTTAAAGCACTTTATGGAAGAAAATGATATGACAAAACAGTTCTGAAGCCAGACGAACGATATGCGTGAGCTGGATATGAGTTACCTGTTTGTTCAAAGCTACCAAATATGGTCAAATATGTTGTAATTACGGCGTAAATGTATTTATTTATGATGTTTTTGTAGACAGGAAACGATTAAAAGATTTGGGCCTGGCTCAGAAGAATTGCAGACACCCAACATCACATGTAAATGATAAGACTATATCAACATGCATTTAGAAATATATATGTTTTTAGTTCTACGTGTTTTAACGATGACTCCCGAAAGGCAGTAATGAATGATAAGATAAAAACATGGAAGGGGGAAAAGCCTCGCGCAGGCAGGTGCAGCGTGAAACGGGGGCGCGCGTGGAGGCGCGCGCGCCCGGCCTGCCGCACCTCCCACTTCCCCGCAGCCCGTTTAACTTCTCGCCTCCTTCGCTTCACGGAGCGCTTTTCGCTGGAGCCCGGCGGAGCTGATGCGAGTCTTCAGGGCGCTGCAGTGACTCTCCGCTCGCTTCCAGCGATGTGTTGGAGCTAAAAAAAAACAGAAAAAAGTTTTTTGTTGTTGTTTGTTTTGTTTTGTTTTCATCACTGATACAGCCCTCTGCCTCTCCCTCCCTCACTGTGGACAAGGAATTGGAAGTGAAGCTGCATTCCAGCGGGGCTCTGGATTAAACTTCCCCAAGGTAAGCTTCTTCTTGCGAGCCCACACCGAGTCTAATGACGACCTGTCTCTCGTTTTAGCGGTGGAAATGTTGCACTTTTAATGACGCTTAACGCCGAGTGAACACATCAAGGATGTTGTGGTGTCAATTAGGCTCAGAGCTAATCAACAGCTGGGTGAACTTTAACGCCCTAGACGGAGTGAAAACAGAGTCTGTTCGGCTCAAAAACCAACCCACTTCCAGGCTGGAGGGACTTCAGCAGCGGCGCCTCACATTCCTCCGCAGCCGGCGGACGGGTCCGTATCTCGGGTCGAGCGGGAGGAGGAGGAGGAGAAGGAGGAGGAGGAAGAGGGCTCCCCGCGGAGAAATGTGGAAACACGATTAGCTCTTATCTCTAGCGCTTCTTCAGACCGTGGCGGTGTTGAATTTTGCGGATTAGAGGCTGTTATCTGCCCCCTTTCCCGCGGCTCCAGCCTGACCTCTGGCTCTCTTATCACCTCGCGCGAGAAGGTTTCCTTCGTGATTCGCGCGAGGCAGCAGCGGCAGCCTGTCTGCCGGGTCAGACGCTCGCGCTGGGTCTGATCTTTCTGTCATGTCTTTGTGTGTAAATGTGCTGTTTGTAGGAGGCGCTGACTAATGACTGGTCTAAAAAAGTTGCTGGTTTCATCCAGAGCTCCCTGTGGTTTTCTCTGAGTCCTGGTATCATCACAGAGCTATAATTTATTTCACTTATTCAGTTTGAAAAATGAAACATGTCCAGATTTCACAACTGATAGAAAACATCCATCATGGAAAGTTGTACGGAAGGAAAAAGGTGCGAAAGGGTCAGATGTCATCATCTTCCTAGTGTCGCAAAAGTTTCAGCATAACTTTTTTTTTTTTTTATCGCTGTTGTGATGTGACTTTCTTGCAAGCAATAGTTGGTTGGATGCCATGTCTTCAGCGTTATGTAGTTCTTGCTCACCACATTAACTGTGTCTGGCTGGTTAGATGGACTCTATGGTCATCATCAATGTCGTCAATGTAGGGCTACAACTAACGATTATTTCAGTAACTGATTATTCTGACCGTTAATCGATTAATCAGGTTTAAAAAATTCTGCAGATTTTTCTTTTCACGCTTAATAGGATGAATCCAATCAATTGACATTAAACTGATGAATCGTGATTAATCACGATTAAAATATTACATTTATGCAGTCATTTGCTGTTGAATTATTGAACACACAATAAAATGAGAGTTGATGGCTGTAATTTGAGATATTGTGATTTAAGAAGCTCATCATGTAACAGAAGTTTAAACAGATTGATTATTTTGTTGTTGTGAATTTGAACGTTGTATGATATAATTTACAGGTTACATTCTTCAACACCAAATAGGGAAATGAGCATTGAAATAATCATAAATTATGATACATACTTGCTTTTTTTGTTTTTGTTTTGTCCTTTTTCGATAATATGTTATTACTTCATAATAAGTGGATCGTGTGTCATTTTCATGTTTTATATCGTAAAATACATTTTTAATGTTTGTCCATTGGCTTGTAGATCTACACTTCATTATGGCTGAATAGTGCATTTAACCAACAGCCCTATTTTAATCTCATGCTGCAGCTTTTACATTAAATCACAACTTGTCATTCTCTGACACTGTGAGGAGTCTGAGGCCAGGAGTGGAGCACAAGGATGGGAAAAGCAAAGAGAGGTGGAGGAAGAGGGATGGCAAAGGTAGCGGCAGAGAGCAGAGCAAACATTCCTGCCTCGGTGTCTCAGCGATTTAATTAAGGTTTTTGTGCGATGCGGCAGCGAGCAGCTCGAGGTGAAGGCTTAACCCGTCCTCCCGGCCCTCAACCTCCAGGTTTTCAAAGTTGGACTAATCCCACGGGGTCAGCTAATAAGTGCTCTGGTCATGCTGCCATGACAACTAAACAGGACGGAACCGAAAGGGAAGCTCGCCAATCAGGGAGTTAATAACCCCACGAGGGAAGTTAAAGAGGTACAAGGTGAAGAAGACAGGGCTCTGCGCTGAATCGTGTGTGTGTGTGTGTGTGTAAGGTTTTATTTGCTATCGGTCGTATTAACAAAAAAAAAAAAAACATCCCTTCTCTTTGGAAGCTTAAGTGCCCTGTGGTGCTCAACACACACTGATACACACAAGCTGGCTCCTCGGATTAGGTCAGGTTTCGGTCACTGTACCATTTTTTCCTCAATAGGAAATAACATGAGTGACTAATGCAGTGATGTTGTTTTTCTGATGCCTGACACTCAAGCTTGGCCTCTGTACATGTGTTGTAATTTATGTTTCCATTACATCCTTGGTGCAAAATGTTTCTTGGCTTTCAGGTTTTATTAAAGTTTTCCTGAAACTTTGATTAGGAAAATGTAATTCAAGTGTTCGCTCTCATGTCCTGGTTAGGTTTCTTTCCTCTATATTTATTCTTTAAAAGGGCAGCATAATACAACACCAACTCTTTTTGAGCTTTACATCATGTTATGTCATTCCTAAATCAAAACCTACCTGGAGTTTTGCCTTGATTCTTTCATGCATGTTTGAGAAATCCTTTAATCTCCAGGGTGACCATTCAGCCGTGCTAAACGCCTGGGTGGGTCGAGCTCCGCCTTTGAGGTCAACGCTCCTCCTGACAGCTGCAGTTTACATGATTCAGAGCTTCAGCCTCACAGAACAGCCCTTCCCTAAACTCATCCACTCAACTCCTTCAAACTAGCCAGCAGCAATTAGCAAATACCTGGAGGAACTGCACATCAACGGGGGTAATTATACAAGCTGCTTCACAGTTCAATTCTGCTAAGAAAAATATTGAAAGTTCTCAATAGAGGAGCCAAGGTTGTTCCTGATGGCGGAGTTTCAGAAAGCGCAGGCGTTTCTTAAAAAAACAGAGGCCTAATTTCTAGGCATTAAATTACAAAGTTTCAGATTTCTTATGAGTCGTGGTTGGTATATACAACATTTTTATAACAACTGAAAGGACATAGTTACTTAAATGTGCTATAAAAATGGCACTGGGAAATATGCAATTCTGCCCCTTTAAGTGGAGCAGAATGAATCAAAGATCTGGTTACAATAAAATGGGTTACTCATTTTGTGTTTTGTCCCAGTTCCTGGAGTAATCCACCAAATCTTGATCAGCCAGAACGAGCTGACCTGCAGCGATTACATAACTCTTTGCCTCCGATTCATCAGACATCGTCCACAGTCTTAAATAAAAAGGGGGATTTTCCTTCTCAGCATGCTCTGAAGTTGCAGTAGAATTTTAAAAATCACTTTCCTTTTTTTTTCTCCATCTTTAGAAATAAGATGATTTCAGGTTCATATATTTCCCAACAGAGCAGAAGTTTTCCTGTGCTTAAGGTTTCTGTGTTTTCAATTGGAAAATCAGAGGCTCACATTATTGGTAATGTGGTTTAGGGGAGATACATTAGTTTGATATTGAAAATATCAATTGGCAGCCTTGATTTAAAAAAATAACAACAAATGTTTAGGCTTTATTGGCTCTTGAGGCCTTTATGTGATAGTAAATTGACAGGAAAGTGGGTAATGAGAGAGAGAAGACATGCAGCAAAGGTCGCCAGGCCTGGAATCGGACCTGCGACAGCCACGTCAAGGACTAAGAACTCCACATGTGTGCTGTGATTAACCCCTTTGCCACTACAACCTTTGTGCAGGGAGGGTTAACTTGAAGATTGACTAGTTAGTACCTCCAGCTTTACAATTTCAAGGATTGAAAAGAACATTTGATGACGCTACCCACTGTCCTCAGCTGATTGTTGTTTCAACTAAATCCTATTGTAACATGAATTTCCTCTAGTAGAGTGTGTCTTAAATGATCAAGGATGTAAGCCAGTTTTGTGTCCGTTTTCAGAGTCCTGAAGTGTCTCACATTACGTCTTTACAAGTTCCTCTGACACCAAAGGCATTTCAGACTTTCAAACTTTGACGCTTTACATGCTCACTGGATCGGAACCTCTGGCCTTCCTCCTCGCCTCTGCAGACACGGTTTAGGGGGTTGTTACTCCTTTACTGACCCACGAAGCGTGTCCTTCCAGTACCTTCCTCTAAGTTATCCTCTGTAAACATGGAGGACCAGGAGAGTGAGACAGAAACACGTTGCAACATTTGGAACTGGTCAATCTGTAGTGAGATTACCTTGACGTCTTTTCAAGTCAAACCCTGAATGGTAGAGATGAAAATGTCCAAATTAAATTGTTCTTTAACTTTGTGGGAAGTTTAGGGAGCTGTTTCATTTAGCCTTGTGATTGATGTTCTTCCCTCATCAAAGCACACCTGGAGTGTTGTGTTGATTCATTCATGCATGTCTTAGGAATCTCCAATGGCAGTCATTTTGAGAGTATGTAAACTCCTAGTTTGGAGGAATTGTCGCTGCTCAACTCCTCCAAACTAGTGGCAGCAGCAATGAGCTAGTGCCACTAAGAATGGTTGCTAATCTTTTAGCATTTGGAGCATTGTTGAACAGTGGGAGCCTCTTAAAGAGACAGTTTAAAGGTGTGAAAAAGTCAAATTTCTTTTAAGATTTATGCACATATTTTTTTTGTGTTTTTTTTTTTTTTTTTTTTTTTTTACCACAACTTAAGGTGACAAATATCACAATCGGAAAGCAGGGGCATTGTCCCGTCAGAACGTCAATTTCTGAAACCACACACATGCACTCAAAAAAAAAAAAAAAAAAAAAACTTGTAAAAGCGCAAACAAGGTCAGTGAGACCCCGCCGCACAGACGAAAGAACATGTGGGGTCTAAATGACCCTGTCTCTTAAGACTGAAAGAGGGTTAAGAGAAGAAGTTGTTCATTCAGCATGAATCGTCGCCGGCCGTTTATCCTTCTTTGTGCTAAAGAAAACACACCACCCTCGAGTCTGTAGAGAGGAGCAGAACTTCTTGGGAGCTTATGGTTCTGGGATAGTGGAGGTGTGACAGACTACAGGAAGATTCCCCCCACCCCACCTCTCCTTAGCCCTACTATGCTTCTGTCCTCGAGGCAGACAG